CCAACGTGTCCGGTGCGACTGCCATTATTTCCAACAGCTTTCATTCGTGCCGGGGCTCGCGCAAAAAGAGACGCTCGACCGGAGTCAAGAGAGAGTTTACGAAAAAACGAGACCCATTAGCAACCGCACCATCGATCTTGCCGTAATGGACGTATGTTATTAAACGGTAACATTAACGAATCATAAGCGATACGTCGGCGGACGCGAGCGGGGGACAGGAAACTTGAGTCGAAAGCGTCACCGGGCGCTAATTAAGATGCGCGCGCTGCTCGGACGCGCGTTAATATTCTTTAACGGGAGGCCTCCAACTACGCGATAGTCGTAATGACGATGTGTTGTTGCACCGCTGACAAGGAAGGGGAGAGAGAGAGAAAGAGAGAGGAAAGGCCAACCGACCCCGCCCCGACCCTCGGCGGAAGTGGAGCGCATTTGCCGTGCCAATCTGACGTACTTGAAGCACGATAAGCACGCTCTCTCGTACCGCTCCGGGGACGAAATAACTCGAACTGCGAGGCGAAGATATAAATGCCGGAACGCCGTCTAAAGCACAATTAGCGAAGTTGGTACGACGCGCGCGCGCACCAAGTGCGCGCAAGTTAAGCAGGGATGTTCTAAGGACTTGGCCGTTTCGCTGTCCGAAATAATGGGCGGGATGACATATACGCGCGCGTCGAAAATGCATGAAAATCCATCGACGCGACGCGCGACGACGAGAAAATACCGGGGGAGGGGGCGAACGAATCCCTGGGTCTTTTTACGCGCCGACAAATTTGAATTTTCCCGCCGTGGGAGAACGTGACGACCGAGAAATAGAGGGGAAATCAAGGACCTGATAATACCTAATCCGACCGGGTGCGTTATCAATTATAATCTGGCCCGACATGCATCCGCTTTGGTCAAGCCAAGCTCGAACGTGGCTCCCCATCGTAGAATTCGTATGCATTCGTAGCCCGGTGCTGGAGACTGGCGAGGTACCGATTCAGTATTGAAATACGGATTTCACGTTACGATAGCAAATGCCTTAAATAGGAAAGCGGGAGATTTCACTAATGTGGAGCTTAAAGAGCTTAGCGGTAAAAGCGGCGGCTGCCTGTGGCAGAAGCTCGAGTTCGATCCCAGCCGAGTTTGTCTTGCACCGGCGTTTTTCACCTCATATGACGTTAAAAGATATCTGCGGGTAGGAACAAGCATACTTCGGCCATAGTTCTCATCTCCCCTTCTATCAGTTTAGTTATAATATTAACAATCGTATAGTAATAAATAATCATTACTGGGAATCGGACAGTTAAGGCACTGTCTTTCGAATACCGGCTCATTACTGTGTTCCTCAATATTAAATCGATATTGGCATCTAATATTATTTACTAAAAATCAATAAGGAAGAACGGAGGTGAAAGTCACGCGGGTTAATTTCTACAGAGCTTATATCTCACTTAATAAATAAAGGAGTATATATTCTTCTCTGTACAGAGAAAAAAGTTTCTTTGGATTTAGTATTTCGCCGGAGCGGATATGGATCGGGGCTGGATTATATCTGATAATGAATCAGCCTGAATCGGATTCTATCGGGCTTTAATTTGCAGAGCCTCTGCCGAAAAATGCAAAAGGATGCCCCGTGTATTTTTTTTTTTGAAGCGGATTTTCGTTACACGAAGAACGCGAGGATCCGATCGCGCGATCCTCGCGATATAACGGATTTTATATTCTTTTTTTTTTTCGTGGTTTACCCGCACGATATCTCTCCTTCCCGTCCTCCCGCTCGCGAACGGCGCGGTGTTTAATTTCGCGCGGCGGGGCGATCATTTCATTTCACGCTGACGCGCACCCGCAATTTATTAACGCGCGCGCGCGCGCGGTGAAACGCGTTTATTAGAGAAAAATCCTGGGTCCGCGTGTTCCCTTCGTTGTTTCTGGAAGCTGCAACGACACTCTCCGGCCCGTTGCGTACGTAACGCGGGGAGAGAGAGAGAGAGAGAGAGAGAGAGCAAGCACGGAAGCCGCTTGGGACGCTCAGACACGCTATTCCCGGTTGTAACGAAACGCTGTTTCGCTACAAATCGGAACGCACGCTCATGCTAATGCGCTCGAGGCACGGTAAGGACGCGCGTCCTGACATCTTAAGCGCCGAAATATAAGCGACACGCACCTACGTTACGGCGCGTGCGGTTTAATTGCTCGCGCAATGCGAGCGCGTCAGCGGAGGAATGGCTGTGTAACTTCGCCGTACCTACGGATTTCGATGCTGCGTACACACACACACACACACACACATGGAAACAATCCGTCTCTATGCTTATTCGTAACGTTGCTTCGCCGTGGGCCGGATAACTTTTCGTTTATCCGCGCTCAAATCTTCGGATATTGAACCCGCTGCAATTATTATATAACGGCTGCCAACCGGTTGCTCGTTTTCTCACATAAAACCACGCGCGATTTATTCCGCGTGCTAAAAACGCACGCGCGCCCACCTCGATACGAGAGAAGCGAATAATATATCAATATGTTTAAAAAGGAGAGAGGGAGAGAGAGAGAAAAAATGACCGACAGCGCGCATAAATTTTCAATTTTAAAACAGAGCGGAACAACGAGACGAAAGAATCGCGCGCGGATGATGAATCGCGCACGCAAACCGGGGAGCATTTCGCGTATTTTCATTGCGCGTCTCGCGCAAAAATTTCCCCTGTTATCGGAAGTTATGCACATCGCTCGCGCTGAATCTTACATGCGCGACAGCCGCGAGTGTTCCTGTATTATCCGGGAAGAGCTACTCTCTATCTCTTTCTCTCTCTTTCTTACGACGTTACACGGGATGCACTCGGAACTATCGAGCCGTGAGCGCGCGCGTTGCCAAATCAAATAAAATACGTCTTTCCGCGTTGTACCAACGCATTGTCCGAGTGCGGCGAGATTTCGCGGGCCGTGACATCGCGCGATATTGTCGGAATTTTGTCGCCGAGCCGCCGTAAAGGATACAAGCGAGCGTCACAGATGACGTAGACACGTCGACGGGTAACACGTCGAGCGCATAAAATAGGCCGCGGTCGCGCTGGTCGCGCGAACGCAAAAGCGGGACGGGAATTAAATTGAACGTAACGATATATATCGAGCGTGTGCACCATGCAGGTCGGGGCATAACAAGCGAATTAATTCATTTTGCCCTAGGCTAACGCACTAATGCGGGGTTAATGCCACTTGCGCGTCCCGCGCACGTCCCCGGAATCCGAGTTATCAACTCCCAAAGTCGCTTGCCCGAATTTCCATTCACCGTGCGGCAAAGCCACCGGAAGATCATCGCATATCCTTATCTAACCGAACTTGTCAGCAAATGGAATGCAACACCTTAGATGGTATCTGTTGCCGTGCCCGCGTCCGCCCGTCGCCTAAACTTCTAGTGATACCCTCCGAGAAAGAGAGGGAGGGAGGCGGGAGAGATCGCCCTTTAAGACTATTGGATAATCAAGTTCTGCTATTCCGAGTGAATGCTTGCTGAATTTGCGCTACGTGCCAGCCGGAACTTAAGCGATATTTCAAACACGCGTTATTGATATTTCAAGACGCCTTGCGAGGCCTTTTTATTACCTCCATACGGCTAATTTTTTTTCCATGTATAATCAATGTTTCGAACAAATTCTGTGTTCTCGTTGAGCGGTAATATATAATTGATACAATTAATATAATTAATAGCTTATAACACTTAAATATAATGACCTGACACCAAGCAATCGTTGCACGTTGCGCGCAGCTCGTTCAATCGATTTGCTTCAACACGTCTCGTCCGTTTAGCGCGCAATCTTCTTCGCGGGCACAATTTCGTCGGAATCTACAACGCTCAATCGGCGATCGAAAATACCTCACCGAGGTTATCGCCTCGCAAATCATTCTTATTCACCGAATAACTGCAGTCAATCCGAAGCGGGGCCATGTTTCTTTTACGTAAAACCAGATACCGGACCGCGCTCTAAATTCAAATCATAAAGTTCGGTAAGAGACCGCCTCACTGGCGAACGGTCGCCCTCTCGTTCTCTCGCTCTCTTTCTCTCTCTTTCTCGTGAACCACGTGCGCTCAACGGCGCTCAATTTGGAGATTGGTGTCCATTGGAATTGGAAATGAAATTTCGTAGACGTACAAATGGGGGTGAACACGGGGTTGCAACACGTTACGCCGGTAAAGCGCGAGAAACGTGAACACGGCGCGAGCATCGATTTTGCGGGGGACCGATTTATGTTCATACGGGTTCGCCGCTACAGCCAGTGCTAATACGCGAGAGAAAGAGTCCTGCATGCGCAACGTAACGTCTCATTATCACATCGTCACCGTAAGTATCTCCGTATCGAGGTATTAAAAATACCTTGGCGACACATTTATAAGTATAACGCGGGACGATCATTGATTATCCGCAGAATCTAATTTACATTTATACGTATATATTGACGCCGCGAATAGAAAAGAGCGTGGTCGTATGACGTTATCGTCGTCGCTGTATAAATCTCCGCACAAAATTGGAAATATCCTAACAATATGTGTTATATGCATATGTGTGTGAGCGTGCACAGGACGACTTTAGAAAAGCACAATATCGGAAAAATTAAATATAAACTAATGCCTCCAATTTTTGTGACTCGTATTTGTAGACTGCTATTTAACCGTTTGGATCAATATTTCTTGTTATATGATTGACGAGTAAGATTCATGAAGCTATAATTACAAATCTATTCTCACGTATAAGCAAGAGAATGTATTGTCTTATATGAAGATAAAAAATTGACTTACATTTGAAGAAATATTCGGAGTGGTTTATTTCTTTTTCTCGGTATATGAAAATAAATCTTACTTACACGAAGAAATGATTCTGTATAATTCTATTAAAAATATATTCTCGTTATTCAGAAATAATTTTCATGAATTTTCTATTAGGAAAGCCCGTCTAAATTTTAAGACTCCTGTCTCCTTATTCGCAGTGAATACATCACAGACGCCAATCCTGCTTCTCGCGTTTCAGCTTTACGATCCAGCATCCTAGCTGCCGGCTGAGTATTGTCCTGGCACTCCGGATAGACTCACTCGTGGCACCGACATTCGCATGGATGCGATCGGAGGTGTTAACGCGATATGGACGAGAGTACGATTAAATATTTCAAGAGGCGGCGAAATATTTCGATCACGGGAATGATAAATAACGCGTCGGCACACTCGACGGTACGCGTGTCGCCCGCCGGCTCGAAGCGTAATGTAGCACTCGAAAAAATGTGCACAGCGCACGAACTTGACCACCTCGAAGATCTAGAACGTTTCGAATGTTGATTTATTGTCATCGCTCGACCGTTCAATGACGCGCGGCAATTCACGGGATGTGACATATAGCTCTTTTTGCACATTGTTTCGGTCTTCTCGCGCATTGCGTATTTTTCCGCGACGGAGTGTTACATTATCGCCATGAGCTAGCTCTCCCGTACTGTAATAGTACGTGTATCGGTGTGTATGTGTATGTATGTGTGCGTGTGTGTTAGCTGTAATTCCTGTTGAACGATTAAAATATTTCACTGGCTCTTGAAATATTTTCTATCGGGCTATCGTCGGCGTCGCGTTAATTAAAACGTGTTCCTCCAATCGACTCCACGCGAGTGTCAGCGCCATGAGCCGGTGTATGAAGCACCACGTCGGACGAACAACGGGGAGCAGGATGCTGAAGGATTAGGAAGCCAGAACGGAGAATACGGGAAGCCGAGACGCAGACAGCAAAATACATCATATACTTCCAGGTGCCTGAAATTATTTATTATACGTGATGCTCACTGATTTTAACGGACACTTGACGAATTTACGGGGAAATGAGGAGATACCCACTGTTGAAAATTAGAGACGATATCTCATAATCATTGTTCGTTTCGTGAATAATTATTTATTTTTGCGTGAATCTCTCCGGATACCAGTCTACTTGTACCTGTACTTACTTTCACATGAGGTATATTATATTAATAATATTAATACAAATAGTTGAATAACAGAGTTTGTGGATACAAATCCATAATTAATTATACTCTCGATCAAAGACCGCGGAAAGAATTTATAACTACACTGGGAAGTCCATTTAGTTGAGTCAATAAAATTCTTGCTTGAATGCGGGCAAACAAATGTTTTGCTTATAAGAATCAAATTTTGGTTCTTACAACCAAAATATTTGTTCGTCCGTATTCAAACAAGAATTTTGTTGATTCAATTAAATGAATTTCTCAGTATAAAAATACTGATCTTACTTAGAATATAATACTTAGAATACATTACTTAGAATAGAATACTTAGAATCTAGCGTATAACACTGGAATTATTCCTTTCCTTTACGCGAGAGAGAGAGAGAGAGAGAGAGAGAGAGAGAGAAACAGAACAAGAGAAAGTAAGAATTTGTAGTATATAAAAATAGGATAATAATTTGTGTAACATTCTGAAGATTCTCCATTGATCCTTCAAGTTTAGATGGGATGTTTAAAATTACCGTAGAACCGGCCGCTTAATGAAAAACGACCTCTTTTATTAAAGAGACCGTATTTAATGGCTTGTCTGTGATCCAGACTGACAGACGTCTACCTCGCGATGAATTTCGTGAAGAGATTACGAGAAAGTTTCCCCCCTCGTCTTTCCTCCTTCACCCCTCGTCGTCGCGGGGGTTACAGATGTTAATGCCAGTCTGAAGCGCGCAACACACACACACACAAACAAAAGCGGAAACTCGAGGCAACCTTAGAGTCAAACGTCTCGGCTCTGCGCGAGGATATAGCGGAGTTTAATCAGAGTAAAGTGTGCGGCGAAAAGTCATCAACTTCCCAGTATTTCGCCGTGATTTATCTTCCGGGCAATAAAAAGCCTTGCTAGCGTTCTACGCTAGCCTGTAGCCGGTATATGATGCATAGTGTTAATAACGTTCGTTCTTTCCTTTTTACTCACCCTGATGATGCCATCTCCCTCTCTCTCTTTCTCTCTCTCTTGCGTGCCCGCTCGCGTTCACGAAGCTCCTTCAGCCAAGCCGCTTTTTCCCTCACCACATCCGTGTATTTCCTTCCCTCATCGTCGCCGTCGCGACATCCTTCGCGTCCTCCAGCAGCGGCTTCCTCCCCTCATTCCGCAGATTGGAGCGTGTGCTGCGCTGGAAAAATACATGTACGTGAGCACATATTCCGCCGAGAATCTGCACTTAATCGTATATAAGATCTGCTCGCCGCGCTAAGATCTTCAAGTACGTAATAGGCATACGGTATGCATAAGATATTTAGCTCCGGCATTTGGCTTTTCTCCCTTCTTTTACTGCGCTAACAGCGAATTTTTCCCGTCCCGCGTAATCCGCGAGCGAATGGACCCGTATTTCCGGGACTCGGTATCCGAATTATTTCTTGAAATCGTTTTCCTGTCAAGTCTCTTTTGCCGCGTCCTTTTTAACGGTATTTTATCCGGTTTTAATATAGCGGGACTCTCGGATATCTTTCGATATCTAAAAACGGATGCCGTCCTTTGACGCATAATCAGGTTTATTGTCGACGGTATCCCGCGATAGGAAAAATGTCAATAGTCGGAGATTATTTTCCAATATCCATCCGCGAGAAAAGGTTGAATGGGGGAGACGAAGACGGAGCCGAGACGGAATGAGAATGCGAAGAGACGGCTTTCTCCCGGCGGGGCTGAAAAATTAAACAGAAAATTCCACGTTCGCGCTGAAGGCGCGCGCGTTCCTCCTCGGTCGAGTCGGCGGGCGACGCGGGGAATTATAATAATGCGCGTCTCTCATTGGCCGATTTGGAATTCCTCGTTTCGCCGGGATCCAATCGATATGGCGGAGTCGGTAAATTAACGACGTATAATATCGCGCATTATGTCGCTATAAAGATAATTGCGGTCAACAATGCGAATGCAAGTATAATGAAATTTACACAATCCGGGGCAAACGGTATTAATGGCACAAATGATATTGTTACATTACCCGATACATGTTTAAGCGGCGCTCGTTCACGGTAAAATATCCGTGACGTTGTGTGCGTTCGGGCTCGAGGCTGCGTACGAGGAAGGAAGCGGAGGGGGCGGCTATTGAGGGGTCGTGTTGTACGTTTTCAAAGACTGCCATTGCGCCGGCCGGTTTAATCCTTCGAAATGAATAGCATCGCGTTTAAAATGTTGTGTCGCGAGCGTAATAAACTAGGCCGCGAGTATTTCGCAACGACCTGTTTCGCCGCGACTGTCGCGCTGTCGTTTATAATTAATCATCCCGCAATTAATTAATCGTGCAACCGATAACGCGCACACGCAAATAACGCGCAAATACACCTTTGCCACTTCCTTTAACACTTAAATATTAAGATCATAGTGTAGAAATACGATTTTTAGGCTCTGATATTGTTAACAATAACATTATTTACAACATTAAGAATTACATATTTGTAAACGTTACATGTTATGAAATTTCATTGTAAAAACGTTCTGTTAACCATTTCTTGCTTACTGAGCTAATCATAGTAGTTTTCGTTAAACGATCTTTTAACTTTTAGTTTAGAAGATATTAAAAATAGAAATTAAAAACAGCGCGCTAATCTCTCAAGAAACACATAAAATGTAAAAAGCATCAGCTTTAGTTGCAAATATCTCGGCTCTCGAATGATCAATCTTTTTCTAATTGCACGAGCAGTTCGATGATATTTCAACGTATACACACACAGTGCAAGTTTTATCGAATCCTTATCAAATTCATTTTGCCTCGCAACCTTCTTAAAGCCTCCATATGTTGTCGTTTGAAACGCGTCCCTTTTGAAAGCACACGTTCGCGTTTGATCACGAGACTTAGATTCGAGCATTAAATTCGCACGTCCCGCCCGCCCGCACTTGCGTTCCCGCAGGTGCGGACGTGTATGCGCGCGAGTCATAATGGAGTTGATACGAGGCGATATCTCGCCACCGTCCGGAGACGGCGACAACAACAGTGGCGGCCGCCGACAGACCTAAACAACGGCAGGCCCTTATCGTCTTCCCGTATTCCTGTCACCTATCGTCGCAACCGTTGCGCGTTAGAACGCACGCCGTCTTGCGGCTGCACAAGCCCGCTCTCGGCGCTGCAACGAGCTGCCGCTCGAATTGACAGTGAGGAAATGACTCGGCCATTCATGCCGCCGTATTCCGAAACTTGCTCACCAATGTGTCCGCGAAAGTCAGCCGAGTCCTTATGGCCCGTATTCGGAACTTTTCTTTATCGATAAAAGTGCCTTAAATGTGGCTTCTCGGCCAATCGGCTGCTTTCTAAGCTACTTTTAAAGGCGCTTTCACGTCGATAAAAGGCGGTTCAGAATAGGGTTTTATTTCGAAGGATATTTGACGTTTGAATTTCGAAGATATCAAAGTTTCGAAGCTTCGTTATAACATTTATCTGTATTTCCTGAGTAAAATATATGTCTGTAGAAGATGACTAATGATGGCCGATCACGGTCGATTATTCTTCTAATAAACGATTGTGATTGGTCAATTTGCTTATTGCTTACGTCTTGAAGTAAGATTGTAGACAAGGGCTAAGATGTCTTCGAGGCATCTTAAAGATACCTTAAAGACATCTTATGTCCCGCTTTTGGATATTGTGCTATGTAGGTTATGATATATTTATTTTGGATATTTCTACTGTGTGGCACTTCCACGATTCTTTCGTTTTCCATCAAGAAGTACATTTTGAAGATTAAGCTGCAATGCTTTTCTGTTCTTTTACTTAACGATGTAATTAAACATGAGAATAAAAGCAAAATATAGGACATATCTCTCTCTCTCTCTCTCTCTGTCTCTCTCTTTTATGTAAGTCTTGATTCCTAGGAGAAGAGTAGTCATTTTGTTAATGAGCTCGCAAAAATCAAGATGGATATCAAATAATATACATTATATATATATATATATATATATATATATATATATATATAAAGATGAATATATAAAGAAAATTCTCTTAATAATTTTCCATAATTTCTCAGATAACATAATATCCAAAATCGGCATATAAGACGTCTTAAAGTAAGATATCTTAGATTGTCTCGAAGATAACGATTTTACATCCCGATTTATGCAGTCTGAGTTTTAAATCAATTCTCGATTTTACGGATTTTTTTTGTAGCTTCTCAAAGTAAACTCTCTTTCCGACTGTCTTCTAACAATTTTACTCGCGCAGTCCATTGTCACAACTACCACTGCAGATTTTTCCAATATCTACCTTACAAATCGCGTCAGTCGAAAGTGATGACGCCAAGCAATTCCTTTTTAAAAGCGTTTCATAATCACAACGGAAATTGAATGTAGTCGTGCATAAAATGCGTAAAATCGAAAACTCAAAGTAATTTCTCTTAAATGGGACTTGGATTTGTGTTATAAAAATGGCTCACCTCTGTGGTGGAAATAACCTCAAATTTACAACGAATTGTATTTTCGCTTGTGCGTCAACCCGAGAGACTGGCACGTTTCTTTTCTCGCGTACTCGCCAAGCGGGGCGAGATATTAAACGACTGTAACGCAATTCCGCGCGCGATTTCGCGATTCGCGCTTGATTGAAATACGAGAACGACGCCTGGCAATCCGACGAGCCAACGCGCGAAAGGAAATTCAAAGAGAGTTTGGAATTTCCGTTAGCGTCCTCCGGTAGTGCTGCGAATTGGCACGGTGGCGCCATCTCTGACCCGAAGTACGGTACCACGTGATGCAAATCGATGGATACGGTACGAAGAGTACAGTAATGGCGGCTACTGTGTTATCGTTTAAACATGACGGAACGCACGAGTGCAAGTTAGACACTTGCACTATACAAGGATTCCCGTATAAAATCGTACTTGAAGGGAGATTTCAGGTATGGCTGGTGCTATGAGACAACTAGAAGTGCGGCAACTTCCCGCGGAAGTGAGAGTGATGCAGTGGTCGCCGAAAATGGATCTTTTAGCGATCTCCAATGTAAAAGGTTAGAGTCGAACAATCTGCACCTTTAATACTGTTAAAACCGTTAAAGTCCTTTAGACTTGCCCTTTTCTTCTTTCTCTTAGTCTTGTCTTCTGAAAGATAAAGACTCTGTTAAACTTCGGTCAGCTTTAATTAATGTTAGAAGAGTAGCTTCAGAAAAACTTTCAATCACCGTCACGTTCCATCGTGTTTTCTATTACGAAACATTACAGGTGAAGTTGTCCTTCATAGACTCACGTGGCAAAAGGTATTGTTGCTAAGCCCTCAAGACGAGTCCGACACTATCGCTCACCTAGCGTGGAGACCGGATGGGAAGCTCCTTGGTGTGTGTTACGAGAACTCCAAATTGCTCTTTCTCGTTGACGTTGAAACTAAAAATGTCATTCACAAAACCAAACTGCCAACAAAAGACTCAACTGTCTGCTGCATCAAGTGGCTGCTGCTACCTAATGTAGAATACGACAGTTCATCGACAATTGATAAAACCGATATCTCACCTACGGGTGATTATTTGCCTCCACTGCCCACTTTAAACAGAACTTTCAATCAGGAGCCGGAACGCAAAGAATTTCTAACACATTTGGATATGCTGTATGTATGTATCGCAAGAGGCAGTTTGTTCCCAATTGTATGATCATTGCGAATAATGTTAGTGTGATCATATGTATTGTCCATAGGTTGGTCAAGAAAATGGCACGGTGTTGATATATATTTTCGGTATGTTTTACTGTGGCACTATCACTGTAGGCCACGGACCAATTTTAGAAATCACAGGTGGACCTGAAGGCCTGATGTGGATCACGTGGAAAGACAAGAGTTGCATTAAGACAACCAGAGTATCCTGTCCACTACTGGAGAGGAACATAGCATTCTTCAAGGTTTTTTGCATGATACATCTTATAATCGTTTGTAACGGATTTGTAAGAAGCAGGAACTACGTTCTGAAGTATTACGCATGGTAACTTTTGATGTTGCACTAAAAAGAAATATGGGTCATGAGAGTTTGTACATTTTATTCTCAGATAGCGCAAATTCAAGCCAACATAGAATGTTTAAAGGATTACCTCTCGCGTACCTTGATGGCTACTTCTGAAGCTTGGGAAACGATACTCCTGGAAATGGATGAGAAGCTCACACGATACGCGGAGGCAAATCCACCTGGTAGTATGCCTGCGGATTTCTTAGAACTGTTAATGATCGGAGTACCCACGAAGAAAGTGCAAGATTTCCTGCTTCGAGAGCTCACAGAGAAGGGACTGAAGAAATTTGGTCACAGTATCGAAATGTGTTACGGTAACATACAGGTATATCGTAAAGAAAAGAAGATAGTACAGAATAATGTCACTTGTCTCCGTCGAATGCTAAAGTGATGGCTTTCGCAGAAATTGGTTTCGAAAAACTTAACCAGCGTCGGCATGGCTCTGGTTTATCAATTAGCCGAATTGAGGGGATTGGTGAGAGTAGGTGGCCCGTACGAAGCGATAGGATTACGCGATGAAACACTGGTAACTAATGCCGTAAATGAGGCCGAAGCTTTCCTAGCAAAATCGTACGAGATCGAGCAAGTCATAGATCAGAGTATGCGCAATTACAAGGCCTTTTTCCGGTACGAATTGATTAATTGTATCGTCGGTTAATATTCATCATTGCTCACGTAGTGATGAGTGGTGTTAATTTCTCATTTTAGCTGGCTGTACGTAGCCATCCTCCAGTTCACGGACGAAAGAATACCGCCGGAGGTGAGTCGCGTAAGTCAACAGGAATTGACATTCATCGCCGAATTTCTGCACGGCTTCGATAAGACCGTGTCGGGCGCGGATGGCAGAAGAGTGGTGAATTTGGAAAAGCTGGGTCAGTACCTGCGCCACGAGAATCTGCAGACTCGTTTGACGCCGGAAGGAAGCGAATGGGCCGCTATGCTCGATACAAATGACTGCTTGCGCGATTACGCGCACATAGTGAAGCAGGACTTCAGCTTGTCTCTGGTGCAATCTCACGCGAAACTGGTCTCCGCTATACAAAACGTTTTCACCGAATCCTATCAAAGCTTGGTCGATCACTTCGCAATGGTATCGATATCGTTACCGTCGCTCGTATCTCTGATATCCACGCAAATTGTAACGAACGATGGGAATCTCTTGCTGGCCATGAGCGACACCGGCAGCAAGTCTGTCAAACTTTACAAAATCGAGCATTCGTCCGCGGAACCAGCATCGCTCAACTCGAAGGTGACCACAATAAACATGGATCACGAGCACGGTTAGTTGGCGCACAGCTTATAGATTTCAAGTTTTCCATGTATGCATTGTGATACGAAGATAATTAATTTTCCTGTATTCCGTATTTAAGGAGAATATTCCAAGGGGAGCCCCAATACTGTGATAGTGGATTTGCAATTTTACTCGCTGGACTATCTCAGCTTGCTTACACTGAACAAACAAACTCACACGACGTTTCTCATACAAGTGCCGTTGCGTGACATATGCGCGTTTAATCATCAAAGTGACGACACGGTGAATTTGTTCGATATCTTCGGCGTGACGTGGTCGAAACCGTTCCAAGGGATATTCAGGCGACTGGCGGTTAGCGGCGCGCGGAAAGTGGCTGCTGTTTTGAGCGAGAACAACAAGAAGATCCGATTGTTTGAGACCGAAGTGGAACCCGAGGATGAGGAAGACGATGAGGACGACGAAGCGGGAATCGAAGATAACATGATGGATGCCACATCCAGTGCGCCAGTGGAAATTTCTTAATGAAACATGAGTGTAATGAAGGAAGTGGGAAGGAAGTGAAAGTAGGACGCAATCAAGGTATGGATGATCCACGTACATCGAGTAGATTATAAATCAGTGCTCGGGGAATTTCACTTCTCAGCGTCGTTTATTAACAACTTCCGCTTCAATCTAGTTTACTTCGATCGATATATAAATACGATATCTTGTACGTTTCTAAAATATATTTATTGCGATAGCTATATAATTAATAAACTAAATATTGTTTGTTTTTTTATAGTAAGATACTGAGCGACACATCGTAAAGTAATAAAACAACATTTTTCCTTTCATATCTCTAAGAATGGGACGTTTGCAGCGAGTCTGCTATTTAATAATCCTATGTTATACGGTAATTTTATTCGCAATTCTATGGTATCGCCTGTTACTTCTGCATTTGTTTGAATACTCTAGGAAAATCAATGTCAAGAGCTGAATTATCGATTCCACCACCGACTTCGGCAGTTGATGCAACTGGTGTATTATTCGGACTGTACCGTGCGGGGGAATTTTCCCTTGACTCCTCCAGGTCTACAAACAAATAGCTGAATGGTAATATCTGTTGCCCACATACATATGCTTTCGTACGTAAACTTGAGGAAGATTTACCGAAAAATCTCTGATTTCTCTTTCTCTTGATGGTAATAATTAGAAGAACAACAGCTACGGCAACAACCAGTACCATCACAGCAGCCAGTCCTCGTACTAAATTTGTCTAAACAAGAAGCACATTTAATAATATTTAAAATTACCTTCTTTCACTCGTGTGTTACAGTTACCTCAAAATCAGTCTCCCAAACATCTTCCCAATCTTTCTTAACTACCAATTCAATGGAATGAATCTTGAAACTGGACTCGTCCGATAAGCCTCTTGAAACACATTTGTAGAAGCCAGATTCTGCCGTTGACACACCCTATAGAAATTATAAACAAGTTGTCATTTGGGAAAAAACTATTTATTAATTCATTGTCTATTCAAGCACTTACTCTGATCATAAGTCTGCCGGTCAGCACTTCGTAATTATATTTCTTTTCATTTAAAGGATTCCCTGGCCCGATAATATCATTATTTCCAAATTGCCAGAACATAAAACGGTGACGGTCGTCAATACTTAAGCATGGAAGGTCAGCCAAATGTCCGGCTGTGACTTCTTTCACTGTTACTATATCATCTACACTTTCCGATCTTTGTAGTGTAAGTGATAAGTAAAAAAGCATAAAAAGCCACATGGTCACACCTGAAAGGACGATATTCCGAATGTTTACATCAATATAAATTCCTCTCGCAAGGAATTCATTTAACTGAAAAGTAACGTATAAAATGATGTGAAACATATAGAGCAGAAGTACATTTACTGATGGCTGACATACACTATCACTATTATTCCTCAAAGATCAGTAGAAATATATATTTATATATAAAATTACAAATGTAAAGATTTAAATATATAGGAGAAAGTCCTATATTTATGGAAATATATGCAATTACTGTGCACGCTCTACCATGACCAAGCGGACTGTCAGTTGTTACTAGCCTGTCCTCCTCTCTCATTCTATAATTATATTCTAATTACACCGATCACCTTTTTCTCCCACAGCTGTAATGCTGCAAAACCAGTTTGTTCTTCACAGATGGTTGTCACAATAACTATTCAGTATTCGACACAAAGCAAGAAACCGTGCCGACTGAATGTTGTGTAATCACATGAACGAGCAACTCCCGCAATTGTTCACTGCTTCTATTTTTTTTATAGAATAAACTGAACAACAGCATTAACATAAATTAGCGATTTTTTTTCTTATACTGTATAACGCCTTTACCGATGAGCAAATTGCTTACAACATGCACTGCCATAGAGTTACTTATTTTTAACTCTGTCCTATTTGGCCTTGTGCAATAGCAAGTATTTATAGTAGACTACCGTATGTACTTAGCGACAGTGTGGCATGTTCGCATCCTGCTATAAATCAATCTACTGATACAAGAAAAAAATAATACTATCAGGTACTTGATTTAAAGAAACAAATGTGAAATATTCATACATTCATATATATATATACACACATGTTCTGTACAATGTGTATGAATATAATCTAATATGTATGACAACATAATGTACAATAATAATGTTATCTTAGATTATTCTAATTTTATAACAATAACCGTCTTTAATACATAATAGTAACATATGCAGCAGTATTAATTGTATACTTTATTACAACAGATTACAGCACAATTCCATCCGTAACACTGACCAGATGATTCCTTATACTAAGAATTATGTTATATTAACGTTTGTTTTTAATAATACATACATACTCTTTAGGTAACTTGATACCAGATAGGATTGATCCATTGTCAGTATCTGGAGTGCAGTACCAGATGAATGAAGATGTCCACGGTCAGTGCCGGGAGAAGTAGCCAGAACGGTGCCAGCACCACTTTACCAGGTAAGAACCAGTGAGGTGCTTCGAGTTTCAAACAAATCAGGATCTTGGTGCACATGAATACAAGTACGATGGTCATGTACCATGCCTGAAACAAAGTTTGCGATCATTACGTCAAGGTTCAAAACGCTGACTTATCTAGATAAAAGTAAAACTATAGATTCCTCTGTATTGTTTGTTTCCGTATGACATTGTCTCATGCGTTTCCCACAAAGATAACGTCATGAAACGCGCACCTGCCTGTCTAAGAAAGAAGTCTTAGATACTTACTTTGCGTTGCAAACTGACAATATGTCTGTTGAGTGGGTTCTTGCAATGTGAGATCATGTTAAAGATGATATAAATGAGCAGAAAATTGTCATAGAGCCACAGCGGGATGAAAACGATGAAGTAATTCCATTGTATCTTCTGGTCAAGCCTGAGAGCCAGCAGGATCATAAATATGAGGACATTGAACCACGCGAACAAGGCGCGATGCAGAATCGCCATGGAAGGCTTTTGTTCAAAAGGAGGTAACAGTGCACAATTGTGAAATTATTATACATTTGTAGGCACTGTACATTTGACAGGTCTTTTTAACCTTCTACAGCCAGCGATCCATGTTACTTCCGATTATTCTGATTTACCAGCAAACTCTCGCCGGTCATGATGGTGCACTGTAAAAGCGTGAGATAGCGCTGCGTGTTCGATAATGTTCGTAAAACCCGTATCAAACTACTCGAGGACAATCGGACCAATCAGGTAATCCAAATCTTGCTTTTGGTTGTGATTGGTCCGATTGTAATCTTCTATCCTTCTAATTCGATACGGATGAACTAACGAAGTCAATTATTGCAAAACTGCACTAATATACGAATGCAAATATTGATATGCGGCCTTTTTACCTACATTACCTTCATTTTTTTTCTCGGTCTTATTTTATTTTAAGCATAAGAACTATGATATGATACAACTAAAAGAAAAAAACTGACATCATGCGGTTATCTAACGAAGATAACGAAACATTTGAATAATTCTTGTTAACGTTTCAAGCGACCTTCTCATGTTTTTGCGTTGCAAGGCATATTGAAAGTTGAGCTATTCGATTTTTTCCTGCTATTGTTTCAAGTATGAATTTTGATTATATTATAGGTTATAACGACTTATTAGTATTCCTCGTGGAATTTTAATGACCAGACATATATAAACATATTTTTCATTAGATAAGCAGATCGGGAAAAAATCCTTCAATTATCAAAAACGGACACAGCGAGCGAATAATATAGCATTTATCGACAACCAATGGGCTCGCGCGTACAAGCAAACGTCACAGTGAGATCACAAGATAACAGTAGTGTAACTCCGGCACACTTTACTACGGACATAAACCATCCGAAATATGGAGAAGATACGCGGCGGACACGGAGGAAGAAGGAAGGTAAAGAAAACAGCCGAGGAAACAAGGAAAACTAGAAGGAAGAAATCGAAAAAGGTAAATTAAGAGATAGTCTTCTCTTTATATTCTCCATTTATAGTATGACATGTATATTTTACACTTGTTTTTTTTTCTCTCTATAGCATATTATTACAAGGTTTTATTAAAAACGGAAATAGATAAGATAAAAGATAACACGATTGCGATTCGTATTATTCAAGAGTGATTTTATCTTTTTCTCTCTTTCGCGAGACGGGGAGATTACATATTAACTACATCATTGTTGAGTAACGTTCAATCTCACAATTCATCATTTCTCTCTCTATTGCGTGATGTGTCAGTCTCTCGGTTCTCTCTCCCCATCACTCAGATCCGTATTAGTAATTGAGCAACATTTGTTTATAGTTCGCAGCAGCGGATACATTGCGCGTCGCACACACTGTTCGGCGCCAATTCGTGAAAAACTCGTGAGTGTGCGAGCGGGAATCCTCGAATGCAACTGGAATCGAGAATATGGACACGACGATGGATTCTCAAGTACGTATATCGACCTTGCATCGACCGTGATACATGAGTCGATCGGATTAGTTCGGACATTCTCACGTAAGCACATTTTTCGCTATAATAAATTCACAAGAAATTTACCGAAAAATCATCATTGCTACGAGAAAAAAAATCACTTTCTTCACAGTGCCTGTAGCTTCGATATTTAAACCGATTTATATGGGACAGTTCCAGTCGCTACATCAAGTCTAAATAGGCCGATAACATATTTGATAAAAATTTTAAATGACCAGAACGACATTCTTTTTCGTCTAAATGGTTTTCTTTTTAACAAAATTTAAAGGGCGCCATCTTTCGTCAGAAGTTCTTGTAATTCCGACATCGAATATCTCACTCTCTGTTGCCGATTATTAAACCTCGAATTGAGGTTCTGTCGTACCAGCCTATTCAAAATTAATTGAATTTATCACTGTATATTTGAATCCTCGGAATGCATAATCTACAAAAATCATATTTTCTCCGCAAGTAAATCTTCATGAATAGAATGTTAGCGTATTTATTAAGAATCAGAGGAGCACGTTGTTTTCGACTTGACGCAATTTGACACGCTTAGATAACCGGCATATCTCGTTAAAGATGATACTTCGTGCGTGTAAATTCTTCATGGTCGGCGATTGTAACGTTAGCATTAGATTAAAGCAATGAAGAACTTTCGAGATATGTGAAATCGCAAAGACAAATGATATTATCATCACACACGTATAAGTAAAAATACTAAAATATCGGACCGGGTTTTACGTGAATCCACAAACAAAAAAGAGAGAGGTGAATTAATTAAATGTCATCGAATGTCAAATAATCGCTATATAAATTGTGCTTTACGTGCATATATAATGTTGGCATTGATGTGACGATGATAATACTAAATATTAAAATATTAATATCACGATATATTATTTATATTGAAACATTATGTTGGAGAGATGCATTATATTCTTCTGCATTAATCTATTAATCCGGGAAAATGTGATTATATATAATTGTATAAAATCATATATGAACTTTGTCCATATATGTGGTTGCATATATGATCATATATGTCTATACGAAAAAATAATGCCTCATCATTTAATTAAATGTCGATATTATATACTGTCAGAAGCACAAGTAGCCAGAAGCATTAACTTCGATTGTATTTGCATACAATGCATGTAATTTGTAAATAACAGTATTTTCTCCCTGTAGACATATATAATTATACATAGTCATATATGAGCAAATTTCATATGTGACCTTTTTTTCCCGGGAATATAAATCGAATATCGTAGGGAGGAAATACTTTCTTTCTTCCGTACAAGATCGCCCCGAAGGGAAGAACCGGGGTGTATCTTTTTATCCATTTGTACTCGCTCTAATTAAATAAAATGAGATACTATCAACGAATTGACCACAACCAACGACGACCATCCGGCGATACCGGATCGGCCGATGACAAAGCATACGTAATGCCTCAAAGTTATGCAACTAAAAATACTTGTCTAATAATGCTATTCCCAAAACGCGAGAAGCGACGTCTATTTTAACGGATTAGCGAGTCTGCGAGCGCGTCCCGATGACCCCGCTTGTTCGCGTAGACGCCGGCTGCGAGTCGTCAGCGCGAGGATAGCCGGTAGCTGGCTCGTTCGAACGAGGTGACGAGTCATTCTACGCCGGACGACCTCGAACTTTGAGACAATTTTACTCGATAACGATGTAACCAACGGTTCCCTCTCTCTCTCTATTTTTCGGCTACGGTTATTTTTGCGGAATACCTGCGGAAACCGAAGTAGTTTATCGGGGTAGATTATCGGGGGAGGATAAGTGTGCTGTGCCTCGTAACACCGTATCTCAGGAAAGGCGCTGCGAGAGAAAAGGAAGCTGATCTTATCGGTCCTCTACCGTTGCATCACAATCCCGTCGCTCATTCATTCATTCATCCGTTTGCCCACTCGTTAACGTTGTACATTAACCTCTCTCGCTCGTTTCGTGATCGTCCACGTGCGCTGTCGATATCACGATGTCAAATGTACGAGCATTGGTAAGTGTGTCTCTCTCTCTCTTTCTCGCTGAAATAAAAGCCGAATGATTAGAATCTCGCGAATATCGCCGAGTTATCGCTCGTCGATTGTTGATTACTTTGTGTCTCGTATCGTTGCCGATATATCGCTTCACTTTCCTCGGGCAAAGTGATCTCGGCGAGAACTGGTGTACTATTTACGTTAAAATGGTATTTTATGCTCCAGGTGCTCCCGATCTTGGCTGCGGTAGGCACGATAATCATCATAGGAGTCGCCGTGAGGGTGTACAAGTCCTGGTCGAGTGAGAAGAAGAAGAAAAAGTCTCCCCCGATACTGCTGGAGGACCCGGTAGTTAAATACAGCCTGCCTCTCGTTCAAAAAGACACGATAAGCCATGACACGAGGAAATTTAGATTCGGACTGCCAACGCCGAATCACGTTCTCGGTCTGCCCGTTGGTCAGCATGTGCATTTAACGGCAAAAATCGGAGAAGAGGTTGTGATACGAGCGTACACGCCTGTTTCCAGCGACGATGATCAAGGCTACGTGGATCTCGTCATCAAGGTGAGCAAAGGGATGACATGGTGACATAAGATATGATGAAAAAGAAGGGTTCGTCTTGACCAAATAAGGCTTTCAGGTATACTTCAAGAACGTACACCCGAAATTCCCCGAGGGAGGGAAATTGTCTCAACATTTGGAGAACATGGAAATAGGAGATACCATTGACTTCAGGGGTCCGTCCGGTAGAATGATTTACAAAGGGAATGGCAAGGTCTCTATAAAGCTCCTCAGAAAGGAGCCACCTGTAGAATATAATGTTAAAAAGGCGAGTATATTTGCTGAGTTACAGCGATTGCTACGTCGATGTGTTTCCTTGTTGCCACCGTTGAGAACAACTTTTGTGCTTCTCAATAAAAGACATAATGATCAATCTTACAGATGGTCATGCTCGCTGGCGGCACGGGTATTACGCCGATGCTACAGTTGATCCGTGCGATAGTCAAGGATCCTACGGACGAGACGCAGGTGTCCCTACTGTTCGCCAATCAGACCGAGAAGGACATTTTGCTGCGGGACGAGCTGGACTGGATTGCGAAAAATCATCCGGACAAATTGAAACTTTGGTACACGGTGGACACGAGCAGCGAAGGATGGTCTTACAGTACTGGGTTTATCAACGCTGATATGATAAAGGATCACATGTTCCCACCGTCGGCCGATACTATCGTATTGATGTGCGGGCCCGCTCCGATGATCAATTTCGCTTGTACGCCGAATCTCGACAAGCTCGGCTACGATTCGAAGTTGCGATTCGCGTACTAGATTGATTTGCCGCTAACGTTCGTAGATAGCATGAGTTCCGGCTGAAACTTACAACGCTTTTAGTACTTCGTTAAAGGAAACCGACCGAGCTTTGTTGGTTCAGCTGTGAGTGGTATATGGTCACACATATCGAAATATCTGACGACGCAAAACGATGCCAATCGAGGATCTGTTAGTCTACAAATTTCCGACCGAGAACTCGTAAAGACAGGTTGAACAGTATTGACGATTGTTACATAAGAATGGAGGGCTTAACGTGATAATCAATGTAGCCGTGTTAAACGCGGACTTATCTGTATAAATGTTGAGATACCCGCAAGACACACGCATAGAATTACGTCCGGCTTCCTTTTTTTTTTATTACTGTCGATATAAAATCCGTCACATTTGAGGGAAGAGGAGAGTGAAAAATCGAATCACATGAATACAATATACATGTGCTGTACCTGCCTCACCATTGTGAAATATACTTTATTTAACCATTTACCTATATACTGTTACGAAAATAGTCTACATCCCATATTCTGAATTCACTTTTATCGATGAAAGTGCTTCTAAAAGTGATCTGAAAATCACCTGACTGATTGATTGAAAAATCACACGTTTGAAACACTTTTGGCAGTAAAAGTTCAGAATATGGACCTGCGTATAAACTGGTTGAGTAAAGTATATTATTAATGTGCGTTATTCATCGGAAGTGCTGTATCTCAAAGCATTTATTGACGTTGAACCTACTGTATTGTTATAAAAAAAAAAAAAAATACGAAACATACAGAGACGATATTATTCCCTTAATATTCTATAATGCTGCATTTGGAAGAAACTGAGCCAGAATACAAATTACAAATACATGACATTCGAAGAAACGTGTCGAAATATATTCTATACTCACTGTGATAATATATAAATACGATTAGTATATTAATATTATCAAATGCATTATTATCAAGTAACGGTGAAGTAATGATAATTTATACAATTACTAGAGCATGTTAATTAATTTTATAGACCGTACGTCCGACATGAAAAACCGCAAGCAACGCGGAATCGAGACAAGATAATTTTTTTAATTTCTTCGTTTTTAGTAAATTAACAACGTCCTCTGTCCTGTACGCGTTTCCTAGGAGCCGCGCGCAAGATATCGTCGACGCGCAGAATCATCTCCGCCGCTTCGGCCGCGCTCAAGAGAACCTGCCTCTTCACCACCCAAGACTCGGTCACCCCTAGGCGTTTCATGCAACCGAGCTTGCCAGATTCCATATCTGTAAAAATTATAAAGCAAAATTACATTCTAGGGCGGATACTAGAAAAAAACGAAGCGTTACAATAAAACATATCATCACAAACACAGAACATAAGTCCGGATCTACAATAGGTGTAACAAGGTGTAATTTCGAAAAAAACGGTCGACTTATAATTTTAAGACAATGTTTCATGCCCTAAATCTTTGCCTTTGCCATCATCATTTGTTTATTTCTGTTTCATCACACAACCGTTTGCCATCAATCACAAACAGGTTTTTCTTAGTTTAAGACTCAGAAAATCGGAAGACGATCCAAAAGAAATTACGTTACAATTTCAAAGGCTTGTTATACCCATTGTAGATCCAGCCTGAAAGCATCAGGAGGTCACAAATATACATCTCGGAATGCTACTGATACGGAGAATGGTGAGGAAACTTGCCCAATCCCATGGTATTGCCGCCGGAATTGTGCGCGGCTCTCAGCTCGCTGACCAGCTGCGCAGAGTCGAAGCCGGCGTTGTCCGCGATAACGGTCGGTAGCTGCTGCAGAGCTCGGGCGAACGCCTCCATTGCGACCGCTTCCTTGCCCGGTGTAGCCGCAGCCGCGCGCATCACGGCGCAGGCCATGATCATCTCGCTGCATCCGCCACCGTAAACTATCCTCGACTCGCGCACCGTAGCGGCCAGGACGCAGAGCGCGTCGTGCAGGGACCTCTCGGCCTCGTCGATGATCTGCTGGGTCGCGCCACGAATGACTACGGTGCACGCCTCCCCCAACGGAACTCCGGAGAATCTCAGAAGAGTGTCTTCTCCTATCATGATCTGCGTGGGAACCATGTGATGCGTTAAAGGAACTTTCACCTCGCCTAGTGGCAGTGTCTGCCTTAGATCATTTCAGATTCATCCAAATGAAGGTGAGATGAAAATCCGAAAAATTCATCTTAGATCAAAGTGATGAGATTGAGAGGATTTTGTTTCTGATTTATCTAGATGAAAGTGATGCTACTTATCTAAATCATTTTTTAGGCATATAGCTTTCACGAGACTATGAAAATTTAGGATAGAAATCACGCGGGCCATAAAATTACACAAAGGTTAAGTAATTCGTCGATCGATCTAAATTGAAGGATCTAACAGAAAAGACCGATAATCATTGACTGCTCGCTAATCGCTGTGTTTTCTGAACGTATGGTCATTATTTCAGCCGGTTTGGCTTCAAAGAACAGACCGTAGATTGTCTCGCATCGAGTTTGTTACCTGCTCGATAAGCTCGCACTTGCCGAGCTTGACCGAGTCCGGGTTATCGAAAGTGCTGACTATTTCTCCGCCAGTGACGAGCGCCAGTCTCTCAATACCATCGAAATCAGCGTGCTCGATAGCCATGACACCAGCATCGGCGAACAATTGCTCCGGATAATTGTAGATCAATTGTCTGTTGATAAAGACGTTGCAGCCGTGCTTGATGATTTTGTCGACTTTATCCTGAAATTCGGAATAATTATGCGCTTCGGTAATGCCCAGACAGTCTCGTCAGACTGTGATCCGAACGTACGAATGTTTAATGCGCGTGAAGAAAACGCGTTGAGTTTATAAATTTCAAGAAATCAACAGCGAGTTCCGTTATACCTTCATCTTTTCTTTCTCCGCGGTCTCCAACTCCGCAATTTTCGCCATCGAATCTACACGCACTCTGGAGCCGAATACCTGTAAAAAAAAAAGTAAACAGCGTTAGATTTACATAATATACAGGGTGTCCCGCGAATTTCTCCCAAATGTACCGGCGAAGTTAATCGATTTATTCACGGATCACCCTGTATATAACTACTGTGTAACGTGCGGATGTAATTGTACGAGAAAAAGCCACACCTTAATCTTGTCCGCATCCATGGATGTATTAGCAATGAGTATACGAGCGTCGGTAACTTTCTGCGGCTGATGGACACCCGGTTTCTTGTCCAACAAGAAACCCTCGTCCAGGAACGAGTCCGCGAGCGTCGCGCCGCGTTTCTTTATTATTTGTATCGCGGACAAATTGCTGGAGCCCTTGAGCCGCAACACCGCGTCTACCGCGAGCTTGCTGAAGTGCTCCTTGTGCTGAGACAGGATCTTCGAGCTCAGCGTTGTACGCGCGATATTCATCAGATCCTCGCGAAAGTGTTCGGGGTCTCCCGAATTGTCCGCGGCGGTGTTCCCCAGAGCCTCTCTCGCGACGTTCACGGCGTTCCTCCAGCCGGAAATAATCGTCTGCGGATGTATCTTTTGGTCGATCAACTTCTCAGCTTCTCGCAGGAGCTCGGCAGCTGCGAGGGAGATACGGTAAGCAAAGTCAAGTGGGATACGCAATTAAAAAGACAAATTGATGAAGGATCCAAGTGAGTACCGAAAACAGTAACCGAGGTGGTGCCGTCTCCTACTTCGTCGTCCTGAACACGAGACATGTCCACCAGAATTTTCGCAGCTGGATTATCCACACCGACACTCTTGAGTATAGTGGCGCCGTCATTGGTAACCTGTACTTGCCCAGCAGACCTGCCATGAGCCACAAGTATCTTGTCCATACCCTTAGGGCCGAGAGTAGACTTGACGAGATCCCCGATAGCGATGGCTCCGACGAACAAGCTCAATCTGGCTATCTCGGCCTTCTCCTCGCCAGCTTCATTTTTCAGGATCCTCACTGGGTTCAAGGAAACCTTGGAACAAAATGAAATAACACGGTTTAACTACCCACTCAAAGTATAATTCAAAATATAACTTAAACTACTTTGGAATGACGTAACTCTCTATGACTGCGTTCAGAAAACACGAGCAGTCAGTGAACGGTCAGTGATTATTAATCTTCACCGTTAGATCCCTAAATTCCGACCAATCATGTTGACTAATTACTCAACTGCTGTACAACCGTTGTGTCTTTTTAATGCGACCCGTTACTTTTCTGAGCGGTAACACCTATCAAAATGGCGAAAACTGGAAATTAGGATCTGCGAAGCGGCCGAAGGAAATTGACTCGCAATTTCTACCGTGTACACTGCACGCAGCCCAAGTAGAAGCTGCGTTAAAAGACGCCACGTGCCGTACATATATACATTATCAACATACCCGAAAGAGACCGGCTTCTCCGACTGAAACGATCGCGACGGTACCGCGATTTTAACGTGATGTATTGCAAAAGACAGATCACGTTGACTTACCATTGTGAATTAACACGGGCAACTGCGGTGTATCACTTCGAGGAGATCGTGCGGGGTTCCGGAGAAACAGGAACGAGATCACACAGCACACGTGGACCAAGAAACGATCGAAACTCGAGCGGTTCTTGGAGCAATGACGGAGGATGAAAGGACAAAAGAAGAAGATAGAATTATTTATTCGCGCACGCGCAGTTGTTGGCCCTCGTTGAGGTGCGTGTTCTACTGCGATATCGTTAGAATTGATGCGAGAAGAAAATAGAAAAACTGTAAAGTGGAATATGCAGGATGATGGTTGCGAGGGAATAAACAATACGGTTTATTGCTGAAATCTCCTGTCGTCGGGACTATTTCCACGCGACATTCGATTTTCTCCCGTACTCGTCGGTGATTGGCGGAAATGAACCGACATAAAGGCAAGATTTGACGTGCGTGTACTTCGTTTTAAGAGAGCTGTATTGGACTGCACCTTTAGCTTTAGTACGTCATCGAATCCTCGATTTAATTCCTTTTAAGTCCCGATTCGCGCGTCCAGCGATACGGGGTTGAAATTGAAGTGTGTTTGGAAAATTTATAAATAGGGAAAATAAAAATTGATTTTCAGAATATTACGAAATATCTCGCGAAATTATCATTTATTAATTAATTATTCATTAACGAGTGACTTATTACAGAATACTTGTGTATAATTTAATTTTTATTAAATTAAACACTTTTATCCTATACATTCTAGAGTATCACATGACATTCATTATTTCCATCACTGATGTATCAAATGACCTAAGAAGAAAAAGTAATATATATGATTAACTGCTCATATCATTTGTGGTATGAATATATGAATGACTCAATCAATTCGTATGAATGCTTACTTGGAATTTATTTGATCACCTGGAATGTAGAATGGATTGCAAACTGCATTGGAATATGCGGCATGTAGCTTCTTGAAAGTCTATTGATCAATTTTTAAGGATTAAATTGATGCAAGAATCTATCGACGCATCTGTGATACACATATGAAACAAGAAACAAGCAATACCATTTTCACATCGTTTTCCCTCAACGATACATTGGATGATTGCAATACTATGACGAATTTTATTTTTGTGTTAGTAGCATATCCGTATCTGAAGGCAAAAATTTCAAGAATCTATTTAAAGCGGAACTTAATGTAGAAACATCTCTGGTATCATCAAATTTGTCAATCCTATTGTTAACTGTATGCGTACATTTTATACTCTTCAGTTGCAAACAACAAACCCAGATACAAGTCGCGCGTATCGACTGCCGTTTTGTTTCCTACACTCAACTTCTCTTCTATGATATCGATGGATGTGTGTACTTTGTAGTGAAACTGCAGCGCTGAGGCCTCATCCGCACACTTGATATATTTCGGGGAGTTCTGCGAAAGACACTTGTCAGTCGACCGAACAATTTCATTCGTACAATTGCATACGTTTGGACATTTCCGTGCAACTTGATGAATCGTGTCCAAACAGCGCAATGTCCAAAACCGGGACATAAGACGTCTTTTCGATGTCTCAAAAATGTCTCATATTGCGAAATCTTAAAAGCGACTTTAAGACGTCTAAGAGACGCCTTATGTCCCGATTTTGGGCATTCGTGCTGTCCGGGTAACCTCTAAATACAAAAGCAACGTATACTCACATCCTTGCCGATAACAGCGACGCAAGCGACCATTTTTTCAGATTCTACGGAAACGCAGAAGAATGTAATTTCATTACAATGCGACACGCATTTTCTCTCGAGTCTATCCGAGAACGATTATCGCAGGCACGAATTTTCCGTACACAACGATAATACAGGTTAGAATGACAGTACCGTGATGCTTATGTGCGTGTGTGTGTGTGTGCGTTGCTTGAATAAAATAAGATGCTGTTTCGACGAATGATTTTAATTTGCTGTACAAAATGTTACAAAATACAGAATATCGGCGTACACGTCGAAAGTATACACATTACAAAAAGTAGTAATTCTAATCGATAAAACGTACTGTACATACTAGAGAGTAATTTGCTGAATCAAAACAACACTTTCTCTCTCTCTCTCTCTCTCGTAACCTAAAATCTCCGGATAATTGTGCGTGACGTAAACTTCTCCGTTAATCGTCATAATATCTTTTCTTCAATGTTCTGTACTTGCGCAACATGTACAACGCTTCCAGCTCTTTTGTTACGAAATTACCGTGTCCTATCATGTTATCGATTTTCTCGGGATCGGTCTCGGCTCTGTTTTTGTCGAAGGCTCTCCTCAACTTGCTCCTGAAATATTGATATCCCTTTGGATAGTCTCGACCCATGTATAACAGCTGAAAACATATTTTTCCAAAGATTTCACGGGGAAATAGAAGAAGATGGGGAAATTAGTTAAATTATGTAAGGAACGATGAAAAAGAAGAAGTTTGCGTGTTTCTTGCTGTTTTAAGTCTATTCGCACTACTGTTATTATTACCGTCTTGTACAACTGGATAACTTGGGTGCGCCGTGACATATCACGTAATAAATCTCAGTTCAGCTCGGATAAACTTGCAAACCGAGCCTTGAGAGGTAAGACGTTTGATAAGTTGTTATCTTTATTATCACGCTCGATAGTTTCCATCGGAGAGATACGAAAGATACGAAATCTCCGTAGTATGGATCGCACCGCACGAAAACCGTGACGTCACAACGGCTTCACACAAACCGTTTTCAAGTGATAATCCGCCACCTTCTCGTAGACCGCAGTTACAAATGCACTCAATTGCAGTCGGTTGCACTTCGCTCGCATTCGTCGGTTGACTTCGTACGGATATTGTTGTGTCTCGGAGGAGCCCAGCTTGCTTTACTGTGACACAATTACGGTAAATTTCGCACGATTAGTTGTATACGATTAAAGTCAATTCTCCGTTTTTTTAAATATCGCGACAGCATCTTTGCAGAGTTGTTTCTCGATCGAAACAATCGAGTAAACTTTCTCTCGAATTGTTGGATCGCGGACATGCAGTCGCGACACACTTTCGACCTGCTGCTGTTTTCCGTTTAACCAAATAGATTTTGATTCGAACAAGTCTTGTATGCTGGCTTCGGATAAAGTACGGCTTCATGAGAAGCGGCTTAAGTTCCCTCGGAGAGCGACTCGAATACCTTTGTTTGAAAACGCTATTGCGTTTCCGTGAATTCAATCAAAGTCAACAACGTCATTACGACTATCGGTGGTATTTATCGATAAAAACGGTGTAATTATCGCGAACTGTCTTTTTTTCTCCCCCACGATAATTGCATTTTAATGAGTCTTTAAGGTATTGTTAATTAATTTCTCCTCTAAAGTGCAATTTTTTTTGGCACATGCACAGATGTTTTGCCTCTTGACATTGTATTTGATTACACATATCCTTGATGATTACACATTTCCTGTACGGTAATTTAACGCTCTTCTTGCTTCCTTGATAAGTATTATCTGTTATCACCTGATATATGCAATAATGATGCAAACATTCTTTTGTTATCTTTTTTATAAGAGAAAAACAATGACATTTACATTTATATTAATCCTATTGGTACACGCGATCATCTATCAGTCATCACAATCTAGTTGGGTCATTTATGTTATCAAAAATATTGATAATAAATATCGACAATAAATACACCAGTATATAAATTCTGTAATTTAGTATCACATTTCAGAGACTCGATGAAAATGTTTTACTTTAGGAGAACTCTACTTCTAATATTTTGTGGTAAGTTATTCAAATAATTTATATGATACCAATATGATGTTAACATAATTCTTTGTTTATTGCATGTGCATTCTTATTTACCTCTTCTCATTAACATGTTTTTCTTTTCTTTTCAGGGATATGTTACGTAGTAGCATCATCCAAAGAGGCTTTGGCAGGCCCAGCATTCAGCCAAACATATACAGTGAAAGGGACTTTGTACATACCATATGCGGAAATTCGTGAGCCTTTTTATGCGTGGTACGACGGTACCAGTGGATCAAGTCGGATTGATTACTATGGAGGTACAAGTTGAATTTATCTATCTTTGGAGTTTAGAAACGTATGAAACAAGTCAATATATAGTGTACAAAGTACAAGCGATATATAATTCCACTTTTATTATAGGAATGGTCAAAACCTATCAACTGTCACACAAAGAACAGTATGGAGCCAGCATAAAAATAGCACCTGTTACTACAGAGTCTGTCATTAATGAGGATACGTGTCTTCAAGTGAATGGCACTAAAGACATGAAGATAGAGCCTCAAAGTATCCTCCCAGATACACACGAGATGAAGGTAATAAAAAATATTTTCAATACGACACTATTAGCTATATTATAGCAAATAATATGTATGTGGGTAACTGGTTTTACAATAATACAGATTAGTAAATTATGTGTATAGTGCATTGGGGAAGAGATGATAAACGGGCTGATGTGCGAAAAGTGGCGACTTGTACAAGAGATCGGAGAGAAAACAAATAAATATACACTCTGGATACGCTATAAGGTAAGGATAAAATTACTTGTAATGTATAATAAGATAACATTTACAGTAATTAAAATAAGTATTTTCTGCAGAAATCACCCCGTGTCCCGCAACTAAAAGAACCTATTCCTGTAAGATACGAAATGCGTGGATTTAATAGCCTTTTAGGTTCGCATTACGATCATTATTATTTGGATTATGATTGGTACTCCTCCGAAACACCCAGCTCGGATGTCTTTAAAATTACGGAAAGTATGTGAAATATCTTCGTGTAGCGGCACTTATTTTATTACTACACACATACCTTACAGTCGAATCATTTCTTTATTACAAGACTTGTAATATTAATTTTTTTTTCAGACACCACATGTGCCAGTTTCCCGGGTCCGGGGGAAAATCACATATATACTTTTAATCCAATGCGCGAGTTCATTCACAACTACGAGGGTCATGTGGACGAAGCGTTCGATAACTTCAAAACGACCCACAAGAAACATTACAGCAATGACTTGGACCACAAGAGTCGCAAGGAAGTATTCAGACAGAACATGAGGTAGGTTCTTGCCGAAATTAACATTTTACGTGTGTGTTATATTAAACACAGTTAAATACATTTATATATAAACATTTACATATAAGTTGTATAAAACATCTTCAGATTTATCCATTCTACAAACCGTGCCAATTTGGGCTATCAGTTGAACGCGAATCACTTAGCAGATCGCACTGATCTCGAGATGAGGGCTTTACGAGGCAAACAATATACCAAAGGTTACAAAGGCGGAGCACCATTCCCGCACGATATCGAAAAAGAGATTGCAGATGTTCCTGATTCTGTAAACTGGGGACTGTATGGTGCTGTGACACCAGTCAAAGGTTCGCAATTTCGATACATTTTAATGCCGTGTGTAAATTATATAGGTATTAATTATGCACATTACTTAAACAGATCAGTCCGTTTGCGGTTCTTGCTGGAGTTTTGGTACTACCGGAGCGGTAGAAGGTGCATATTTCATGAAGTACAACAAATTAATAAGCTTATCTCAACAGGTAAGAAACTCGTAAAAGTACAACCGTATGTTATTACAGTCCTCTTAATTATTAACTTCGATCTTAGCTCGAGTTTATGTGTTATATTGCCGCGGTATTGTGAATAATAATATGGAAATATTAATAAAATTCAGGCTCTTATCGATTGTTCGTGGGGTTTTGGGAACAACGGTTGCGACGGTGGAGAGGATTTCCGTGCGTATCAGTGGATCATGAAGCACGGCTTACCTACCGAGGAGGATTACGGTGATTACTTGGGACAGGTGAAGATCATTTGGAGAAATCAGTTAAAGAAATGAAAGGAATATCATCCGATCGATGATGTACAGTGCGTAGGATATATAAAACGAGCGATTTGAGAAACATTACTCTCTTTCACAGGACGGATATTGTCATATAAATAATGTGACGACGACAGCTAAGATCACGGGTTACGTAAACGTTACTCCAAGCAGTGTGGATGCCTTGAAAATCGCTATTGCCCTGCACGGGCCCATTTCCGTTGCTATCGATGCTTCCCACAAGACATTCTCCTTCTACTCTCACGGAGTGTACTACGATGCAGCTTGCGGTAAGTTTGCGTCGAACATTAACCGGCTTGCTTCATCGCGCATAGATGTGAGTCCGTCAAGTAGCGTACAATTATTGAACGCTTGGTGATGCAGGTAATACTGAAGATAAATTGGATCATGCCGTCTTGGCCATTGGTTACGGCACTTTGCTCGGAAAAAACTACTGGTTGGTGAAGAATTCCTGGTCAAATTACTGGGGCAACGATGGCTATATTCTCATGGCACAGAAGGATGACAATTGCGGTATTCTTCTTACTCCCACATACGTTACTATGTAAGGATGTTCCTATTTCTAAGAGCTGGTCGTTCATCGCACCAGAGGCTCTCTAATATTAATCTAATAAAAAAAAATGCGCAAATATATAGGTGAAGTGTCGAGCATATTTCAGACTCTCAACTATGTCTAGCTTACGATGAACGACGTGAGCTCTGTGAAGTGAATTTGTTAAAGATTATTACTTTCTATGTGTTACAAAGGAAAATCTGTAAAATGTATATATATAAAGGAAAATATATACAAAATATTTCGTAATTAAAAGAAGCATTTGTTGAACACGATTTCTTTTATTAGTATCAAAAAGGTGATTATTTAGGAAGATAAAAATAACAATTTTGTATATGTGAGAGACATGAATAAAATTATATTATATTAAAGTCCGAAGTATATACGGTAGAGAGCGGCAAGAGTGAGACAAACTTGATTTGTTTGTGGAATTGAGAAGTAGAGACGTGTATATATATATATATTTCAAGTAAAAACGAGAATCTTAGAATATCAATTTACTCGAGAACAGCTGATATTAAATTAGTGTCATATAATTTACTCTATGTGTGTGTATGTGTGTGTGTGTATATATATGTGTACGTGTGTGTGGACTTGATACACATATAATTTGCTTACTAAAGTAAAGGACAATATTAAGTTACTTTTATCTTTGCACGATGCCAGTCTTTCGAGACACAAACGGTATCTTACATATTTTCAATCATATTTTTTATTAATATCTTTGCTTTAACGAATAATACGATATATTCAGAAAAATTTTTTATAAACTGTTTTTACACATAACGATGTCAACTGCAATCTCCAACTATACTCTAGTTCGTTTTCTTTATTATATTAATGCATTTCTCGGGGTGTTTGTCAAATGTCCTTGTACAATTCCAAAATACAGTCGTGTATATATATATATATATATATATATAGTTATATATATATATATATAACTATATAGTATCTTTACAAATATATAAATACTTCTCCTAATGCACACACATTTGTGTCTGGTAGGTGCGTCATGGTAATGTGTGATTGATATGATGGATACTTTCAAAATATACATAATACTGCTTACAGCTATATTTGTAACATAAGGACTAAAGGAATGTAAAGATACGTATGTAAAAGGCATGACGAACAAAGATATTAAGGCGATCAGTGAAACTGTAACTAACCTGTTGACTCAACTCCTCGTGATAAATTTGCACGTGAAAGTAACGCAAGAAGCAAGCGACAGCTGCGATATTAGATTGTGAGAAACAATGAATATGAATCCCGGAAGTGCCGCGAAAGCAAACCGCTCGCGAAATATAGCAAAATGGGAAGAATCATAATCGCCGCGTTAGTGAGACCCGCTTTATCGTACATTTGTAAAAATCGCTCGATTTCACCGGTCGTCGAGAAGCAAAAGTATGCAAATGTAGTATAGTTAAGTACACGAAAGGTGTATGTGTGCATACAGAGTGAATCTTCGGATCCAGAACCGTCACTCGATCAGAAGCTCCGTTTCCAGCGATTCACCCGGTATATCCTTTCCACAAATTCCGTCTCAGTTGAATATAGTACACGTGACTAAGTTAGCGGCTGGAGAGCCATCCGGAAGATCTTATTATACATAAATTTTTCTTAAATTTCCCCCCCGATTTTTCTCTTTGTGTTTTTCGTTATCACTTAAGTCTTACTTTCATTTCTATATCACTTACGGACCGAGAGACGTGTCCGACCGAGCTCATAAAATATCTGATCGTCGGCGAATGTTAGCCATATACGTATTACAGTTGACGGAGGTGTCGGCCATCCGTTTGTTGTTACGTATATATTACACATGATAAAAGTTATAGGAATGATAAGAGCTTCTTCTCCCCAGAGAGTCAAGCATGCCGCCTTGTCACTGGTTCTCCTCACTTTTTTGCCGCACGATTTCACGCGAGTCGCGTGCGGTCATCATCCGTGCGCTTGACATCCGTGCAACCTTCCCCAACGCCACGGATCGCGATCTACATTTTGATTAGAGAAATCCCATTTCTAAGGCATTGTACAGGGCTTGCGTGTCCGAAAGGCTGTTTATCCTCCAGAAGGGGAAGTTGTGCGCTCGCGCCGCGTTCTCCTCGTCCGAGTCGTCGCCTATCACTACGTACGTACACCTGCGGCCGAATCGCGCTACCACCCTCCCGAAACAATTTTCCTTTCCTGAAACAACACTTGCGTTACTTCGTTACTTGCGTTACTAGGGTAGTCTTTATGCAACACGAAAAGTGGTCGGATTTTTTTTCCCGAATTCTGTGATTTCCGACCCTTCCGCCATGTGTCTCATAAATGTGGCACGAATTTTTGGAAACAGAGATTCTGTTTCAGCGCATCAAAATATGTAGGAAACGGTTGGTCCTCCTCTCGGAACAAAGTACCTTTTTTTTTATTCTGTGGTCCTGCGTAATCAATGACTGCTCACTGATCGCTTCCCCCCTCCCCCGCTGAACGTAGCCGATCATAACCATTTGTAATTACCGATTTTGTTGGCGGAGTATATATTCTCTATGGGGAATATCCCGCCGATGCCGAAGAGCAGGACCTTGGAGAGGGTGGGCACCAGCTGCGAGGTCGTCACCAGGATATTGATGCAGTGGCTCCTTTTGTTGATAAGGCTCAGACACTTGATCGCCGACGTCAGCCAGTTATCGGTCAACACCTCGATTTCGGAGCGCAGCTGGAGCCACTGCTCGCGCTTCGCCGTGCCCAGGAGACCCCCGACGTTGTTGCGATAATTGCAGTAGATCTCCTTGATCTTGCGATAGCGAAACGCCAACTTCCTCATCCAGTCGACGCCGCCCCGCACTCCGGAAGTCAGGCATATCCCGTTGTTCGTGGACGCGCACTGGAAGCCGTCGGTCGCGAAGTTGTAGGACGACAGGTCCTGTCCGTTGTCGTCCGACGCGACGTCGTCTATGTGCACTTGATCGCAATCCTACGAGAGGAGACACCAATTGCAATATACCTCGACACCCGAGCTGAGTACAACTCGCTTGAACTTGGGAGGTTTTCAACGAAGATCTTCAATAACCCACGTGTGGACGCGTGTTTCCGAAAGTATTCGTCAAGTTGAAAGACACGACAGTCGTGGAAATAATGAGGAAACGGCTGATAAATAATCGCTCGGAATCTGGTATGTATTAACATCCTCCCGTAATAACTGAATATATCGCTACAACGGCCGGAAGGAAATTCCCGTCACCTCGATGTCACTGAAGAAGAAGTGCGTGTCCGCCAAGTTGAATATCATCTCCTCCATTCGGTACGCCACCTGAGCCAGGGGGGTGGGATCTTTGCGGTGCTTCGTCGCGAAATGCCCGGTTAGCAAGGAGTGGAATATAACGATGGTCTCGTCAAGGTCCCAGATGAATATACGATCAGGCCCGGCCTCCGTCGTGTCCGCCGAACCGATACTGTTCCCGCTTCCGCTTTGCCTCCTGCCGCGCCTGCATGGCTTCGTCGCCGCCACTGAAGACGTTCCGTTAAAAGATGATCAATGATATCGTTCTGTGCGAATTCCAAATCACGAGAATGTATTCGAACGCGATTATTTTTTCCCCCCTTTTTTTTTCCGGAAACACGTAGGACGTAAATCCACTCACTGTGCGGAGACAGGTTCGCATTGTTTTTTTTTTTCGTTCGATTTAAAGCGACGGCTAGAATTCGTCCGTGTTTCCGCAACTGCGGTAACCGCCGGCCGATCGATCCCCCCCCCGCAAAACGCGGCGGTTACGGCGCAAAGTAAGAGATACGTATCGGGTGTTGTACCTTCGATGTTTGCGGTTTCCCGTGCGGTCAGATCGCTCGCATCATGCGTAGTCGGGTCCAACGTGAGCGCGGACTTGGTCGAGTCTTCTTGTACACACGAAACACGGCGTTAAGTTAATCGCATTGTTTGAAAAACAAGGGTGAAGATTAAACGAGCGCAAATACAATATACTCGCGAGAGACGAGTTTGGAGTCGTGACTTATCTCGCTTGAGAGGACGCGAGAGGAGCACGAGAAAGCGTGATCTAGCAGACGATTACCCGCGAAGTTGATGTTGCCGATGTTGAAGGAGGTGGGCGGCGCGTGATAACCGGGCATAGGGTAGTATCCGGAATACTGAAGCGGCACCCTGTCGTTCCCGTAGAGGCTGCTGCTGTAGGCGCTGTAGTCCAGTTTCTGCTAAAAAGGCAGGAGAAAATGGGAGGAATCAACGAATTGAATTTCGGGACGAACGAGGAGAGAAAACATGCACGCGTCGTCACCTGAGAGGCCGGCGATATATTCTGCGCCACGTTCGGGAAAGTCGTCGCTCCGCTGTTGTAGCCGGCGTAGGACGGGTACTGCGTCATCGAGCTCGACGACGTGTAGGAGCTTAGGTACGAGCTCTGTAAGCTTGACGCGGACTTCGAGACCGTCGTGGATCCATAAGGCGGCGAGTTGTAGAGGCTACGACGGAGAGAGAGAGAGAGAGAGAGAAAGGGAAAAAGCGGTGACGAGAGACGGAGAACGAGCGATTTAAGTTCTCGCGTTTGCGTAAAAGCGTACGATTACGTACACTGGGAGAGAAAATATATTTGAAGAATAAAAAATGTTTCTTCGATGGGCACTAATAATGTTTGTACCTAAGTAGGGTCTACTCGAACCCGAAAAAAATTCTCGGAGAATTCCCTCATTTTTTTCAGCCAATGTGTTGAGAATTCCGAGTGAAATGAAAATATGTTTAAATGTGTCTTGCAAATATATATTTATCGCCAAGTCCTTAATATCTTCCATTCGTGAAGATTTATATATTGTAAAACAAAGTTGAGAATCACTCGTAATTTCCTTCAGGATAAAAATACGTATATTTATATAAGTAAATACATTGTTAATACCCACTGAATGAATATCTTTAATTTCTTACACATTCTTTCACTCAGCGTATGTTAAGACGACGTCGACGAGCGACTGGTTCTCGACTTTGTACTAATATTCATCTTACCTGTTATAATATTGATTGGCACCGTACAGGGATCCGTAATCCGCCTTTTCCATCGAATCCGGATATTCCTGCTCCTTCTCCTCAGCATTCTCGTCGATGTACAGCTCGCCACTTGGCACGCTGTCGGTCTCGGGACAGTCCTGCACCTCGTTCTTAACTTCAGTTTCTGACAACGTGAAGACGAGCGGATGAGTGGTTTGTAAATGAATTTCTGTAAATAAAAATCTCCTACGCCTCGTGCGAAAAGGAAAAACTCGCGCCGCTATCAACCGCCGCTCTCTCGTTGTTCCCGAGAGGTCGACGATCGCGATACGCTCGTAATACGATGCGACTGTAATACGACGGTGAAACGGTGGAAATGGAAAGATAGCATCTTTGTTAAAAATCACAACGAAATGCATTCAGCTTGTTATCGCGAGATGGATGCGCCGGTAAACGATCGTTCGCCGATGAGCACACTGCCGCCGCGATTGCATCTCCTTTCTTCTCCCCCCCCCTCCCCCTCCTCTCCTTATATAATGTACTTTTTATGCGTAGTCTCAACGGCACACTCGTTAATTCAAACCTTATCGGCATATCAAGAACTGTGTGCAACAATATCTGGGTAAACATCAGCCGATCGTCGAGCGGCGCATCCGCCTCTACGCCAATGCCAGTTAGATCTTCTATCTACCATTGTTTGCGGCGCGAGGATGCTGTACCGAGGCTTCTGTCGAGGAAGACACGTTGCCAGCATTGTCTAAAACCCCTGCTGGTTTCGTCGGGTCATTGTCTTCGGTTAACATATCACTCTATCTGCAACGACATAAGTCACTAATTCACCTGCGACCCTCCCTGCGCGCTTATAGAAGCGTCATAAAATAAAACACGGTCATGGAGTAAAACACGGCGAGAAATAAAGGAAAAAATGAGGAACGAATTGCGGAGAACCAAGTCGAACGGTGAGTCGCGTCGCACTCGCGACTGAAAGAAGGCCTGACGTCTCGGATCGACTCTTTAGTCCGGATTTATAACAAGCTTTTAGCCCTTTGCTGTAAACGATAATATATACACGGAGAAAAGTAATTAGCTGACCACATAATACAACTGAAATTTAATTAGCAGACTTAAGGCCGATTGTCCTAACTTCTTGGTAAGATTTACCCGATAGGTGTCTATTAGGTAAGCATCAATGGCTGTTGTTCATTGGTGCGTCCAATAGGTACCTATCGGGTAAATCTTACCAAGAAGTTGGAACAATCGTCTTCTAGTTCGTAGTGATAGTTTGTAGAAGCTGTAGGGACAAAAAGAGAATTAGCTGAATGAACTAAATTTCAGTTGTACGGGCAGCTTTTCGCCCCTGTGGGGGCTATTTGTTTTCTTCCGTGTGACAAAATGTAACGTAATTTCTGAGCAAAAGGCGCATTTCCCGCACTGGCTGAAATCGCAATAAACTCGTTCGAAACTTAGGTATCGCGACGTACCGGTAGCGCTGAGAAACGTTAGAAAAACAAATTTCGTGCTCGGAGCGAAAGGCTGAAATCTTACTACACATATCCGGACTTAAGGCGAAGTCGAAGAACCCGCGGACGAGGAAAAACGGAGCTTGCGAGAGCCCGCCGAGTAATGTCTAATTGATCGTTATTCTCAATTGTGACGTTTCTCCGGTGTAATGACGAGGCACGTCGAACGATCGCCGGCGTTTTAGCCGGCGACTCCGGCGAGCGGAAGAAGGCTGCACCTGCGAGGGTCGCTCGCGTGTGAACTTCATTATTGTCTGCCAATTGCGTGTCGAAGAGGTGGAGTGACTGGCCGGGTAGGCGTACACCGCGAAGAACCGAAACCAGCCAATGGAGCCTCCTTTCACTACGCTTTACATTATTACAAGATGCCTCGCGAGAACTATAGAGGCGTCTCACTAGTCAATAAAAAAAAAAAGAAATCTCAGGATGGCCGTTAGATACTTGTAGACGTTTGTGTGGATGTGGAGCCGAGCGCGAGCGAAAGAGAAAACGAGTCGAGCGACGAGTAGAACTTTATTGGTAATTGTTCATGCTTATGCCATTGTTGTTTCGCAGAAATATGGCCATTTGCATGCCAGTCCGAATATTCGTTCGATAACTGATCGAGAGCTATCGGGGATTTCGGGACTCTTCTCCCAAATTGTCACGTAGATCGTTCGCAATCGCGATCGGACGCAGAACGAGTTACGAAATAATGATAACTCTTTGATTCTCCCCTCCAAATGAAAGATATACTTCACCGAAAACTTTTGATTTACGTCCGTGGGATTTCTTCCTTCGACACGACGTCCGATCGTCCGCTCGGCTAAGAGACGGTTTCCGGATTAAAGAACGATCGAAGTCGCCCGGACGCGACTAATGATCAATTTGCCGAATTGTCTCCACTTGACATTCCAATCGGGACTTCTGATTCCGGGATCCCGACAGGGAATGTCGAGATATATTCGCACACGCGTGTGTGCTTCCTCACTTTCTCGCGCGTTTGACTTTACAGCTGACTGCTTAACGCTAATACGCGAAATCCGCGTCGCTTCGTCGCTGAGTGTCAATATTTACACCTATTTTCCTAAAACCGCCTCAACACGGACAAAAAGATTGGTCGAATTCACGTGACAATGAACGGATCAAACGTGTTCACGTAGAAGGAAACAGAATTTCGAACTTTAAGGATCAAATTGGCTTCCAATAAGAAGCCAGAAATTCTGTTCCCTTCAATCAAAACGCTCAATTCACGTTCATTCAATCGATCTTTTTCCCTTCTGTAAAGAAGGGGAATTAAAGGGAAAAAGTGCAATCTGATTCAGTCAGAAAGAACAGACCTATTATGTTTTTTTTTTTAAGTCGCGCAAATTTTATTCGAAAGACGAAATAAAGTCAACCGTCCTCGCCTACATTGAGCGTGTATTGTAATTTTGCAGGAGGATTTTTAATTCCGTGCAGTCGATAACGAATATAATATTGACGAGTTTGCAATAAAACAGGACGACTCTGGGATCTCCTTAAGACATCTTATGTTTCGATTTTCGACATTACGCTATCCGGGGCGTCAATGATGTTATCTTACATGCATATTATCGCTACCACTATTTCCGTGATTAAAATCACAAGAAGTACACGGTTGAAAACGAAAATAACCGTGTAATTTCTCTCGGGATACCTTTTACACCGAGAATTCCTTCGCGCTCGAAGTAATGCAATCATCGTCGATCGTCGAATTTAGAATCAGCTTCTGCGCTTGACGCGCACGAAAACGCGATCCCGCGGATCTCGCGCTTCTTCGATATTCGATAACCGGCCATTTCTTCCCTCCTTCTCTCTTGGCAACCGAGACTCGGAATCGCCTTCCTTTTCGAGTGACGTTTAACGTTAATTAATGCCTCGAACGCGCGTGAGTTAACTCGGGCTTCGTTCGTTTCGACCAAAACGTTCGCATGCCTCGCTCGGCGTTCTACCCACTTTGTAACCCTTCGTTACCAAGTCGCATCCCCAAGACACCCATCCGCTCGCGGAATTTCAATTTCGTCGTTTCAACAAACTATATCGTTCGTGTGGATTGTCCGTGCAATCTCGTCGGAGTTGCGATTTTAGCGGCACGTAATCTATGTAAATCGTTGCCACTCTCGAGATATGCTGAAGAACGAGGTCTCGTCGGCAAGTTCAAGTCTCCGGTCGGTATTCATAATGAGACCTCGCGCGATCCAATACGTGGGATGCATTCCGAAACATAAAAAACAAAAGTGTTGCGGCCGTCCTATGAATGACTGTATGTACTCGAACACATTTCGTGCTTCGGCAACTTCAGATCGGACGCAGGAATGTCGCGCTATTTCGTATGCGGGCGCAAACTTGTCGCCATCCTGTATATATGCGGCCGCGATTCATCTCGGCCAGTCTTCTCGCGTAGTGCACGGTGATGCGAGATGAAAGGCACTCTGCTTATCTAAACAAAAGCCCGCGTCGAAGTGTTTATCGCAGGCGAGTTGCTTAGCTTGCTGTCTGGCTAAACTGTCCGTCAGCCGTCACGAAAGCGAAATGCAGCGGAACGGGAGAGAGAGAGAGAAAGAGAGAAAAAAACGCGTCTGCGATTCCTGCTTGTAGAACTCTCGCTCGGTTCACCTAATTGGCCGGTTTACGTCGCAGAAAAGGAAAAGCAAGCGCGGATAGCTACAGTTCGCCGAGACAAAAGCTTTTTGTTCGAAGCCATCTAGCCGCAGCGAGAAAGGTAACGATAGTTTCCAGCGTCTTTCGGCAAGATTGTTTTTCTAGTCGAACCGACCCCTCGGAGATGCTCGACTCGCTTGCGCGGTACCTTCCAAGCCTCGCGCGCGTGTTTCGTACATGTGTTACACGGGAGAACCAACGCGTAATAAATATTAGGTCTGTTCTTTTTTTTCTTTCTTTTCTTGGCCGAACTGGGTTGCACTTTTTGCCATGAAAGTGAAGCGAGGCGTACAAAGATGTCGAAAGGAAGAGGAACGATTTTCTAGCGCGGCACTGGCGCGGTTTAAGAGAACTGGCCTTATCAAGCCGTCCCTCCATAGAGAAATTTCAGGCCTTGGCAAAATGGCTCTGACTTGTAGTTTTAAGATGACGGTTCTGTGCCCTGATCTTTGTCTAAATTCTGATTTGATTTCTTTGTATTATTATTACAGCGGTTTGTCATCAATCATAAACATAACGACGAGTTTAAGACTCCGGACACACAACCCTGTTGAGGATTTCCAGGTGGATTTCCCAAGGAAATCCCAGGAAACTCGTGTGAATCCACACGGAAGATTTTAAATCTGTATAGAGGACATGCGGTGTGTGTGTGTGTGTGTGTGTGTGGAAATCCAGGAAATATAGGAGTCCATTTAGGACCTGGGTTTTTGACCCAAATCCCCAGGGATCACCGTAGGATTCCATAGGATGCCTACCTGGTTTTTTTCAACAGTGGAAGAGAGCCATTATGCGTTAAGACAAAGACTTAAGGCATCAAACCGTCTTAAACTGATAACCCGGTCATTCTTCTAAGGTCCGTAAGCAGCGAGATATTGAATAGCAATTTTCATGTTATCGGTTAATTCACTCTTACTGCCATCTGCTTCATTTTCGATCTATTCAGGTAGGACAAATTCCTAAAAGATCTCTTAAGGATGTCTGAGAGATATCGAAAAAATAGAACGTCTTTCTGACATCTTTTAGACATTCGTTCTGCCTGGATAGACGCTTCCATGAGACAAAGTCCCAATGGCTTGAAAACTGCGAAACGAGTCTTTACACTTTAACTTGAAGCAATCGTTACGTGGTAATGACTACGGAGAAACGCCTACATCTTGCTCGGTACTCATTTCATCGCGTGATATTTGCATCTTCGATCCGTTAACAAGTAAATAATCTTAACATATATAAATTAACACTTGCTGCGCGCGGTTTGAAGCGCGAAGACGTGCAGTCTTTGAAGTCGCCGATGAACTACAACGAGTTAAGGTGATTCCGAAAGACCGTTGGCCGTTCAATGAACGGTTATTCGGGGTATATAAATGTAACGCGTTCAACGCCGTAAGAATGTTTCGACGCCATAAGAAACTGCAAACTCGCGATTGCAACGTGTATCGAGCGGGATGAAAACGCGTAGAGAACTTATAAGCCGTCCGTTTACACGCCACCGTTTACGTCACGTTTCACTGTAATTTACCTTGAATCTCATCGAGCTGTCAAGTGACATTACAGAACATCAGATATCGTTAGGAACGACGCTGCGGCGATGGCGTGTGTTCTTTCGTTGTATTAAACAATGCGACTGTTCGGAGTTTCGAGAATCGTAACATTTCCGAGACCCGTCGCGTTAACAAACAGCGCGGCGACGCTTTTCGGGCGGAATGTATTGTCTGATACTACTACGCAACGCCCGGCCAATTAAAATACATTACTGGTAACGAGCCGAATGAGATGCATAAGTTACGCATGCTCAATTGATAATGACGTTTACTTGCGCGCGTATGTGTGTGTGCGTGTGCGCGTGCGACATCCGCGTAACTAACTGCCGCGTCCACGGCTCTCTCGTCTATCTAGCAGTTTCGAGAAAAACGCGCACACGCGAAACCTCTCGTCCACGTGCTTGCACGAATCTTTCCGATTTTACCGCCGACCAGCGTCACTGCTCATATGTTCGTCGTTTGCTCCATTAGTGTTAGAAAAAACCGAATTATGAAAAATATGTAATTATAATTCCCCCAAGGAGTATATCCGAAAAAGTGGATCAATTAGCGAAGTATCGGCGGGAATTGATCCAAAAATAGATTGTAGTTGAGCTGTGATTATACAGGGTATAAAGAAAAAGGGAATTCAAGGGCTTACGGAGTTAATAGTATTCACAGTGAAAAGAGGATTTGGTGATAAGTAAAATTTGGCGAATACTCGCCGACGAAATATCTGATTACTGCAACCACACAATTACAATTTAGTTTCATATACTAAATATACAATATACGGAAGTACTGTATACACAACACATATGCGGAATAATATACAAAATATACGGATATGAACGGAACGAAATTATTTCGTTCTGCAGTAATCAAATGTTTGCTCGGCAGATATTCGCCAAATTTTAACACTTATTACCAAACCCTAATACTTATTAGCGAATCCTTGCTTTTTCAGTGCTACATCGCTTCTATCATTTTCCCTGTAAACTCTTCCTTAATTTCCGCAGAGACTCGGCCACGCGACGCTTCGAAAAATCGCAATTCGCGAGACCCGTTCGCGACACACGATCGCACGGCGGCGGCGGCACAACAACAAATCCCGACTCGCCACGCGTCATCAACCCCCCCTGCGAAACCCTCCGCCGCTCGAGGAAAAATGGGGAAACCCTCGGCGTAAATCTAATCAAACAACGTTGATCAAACCTTGCGTCCCGTCGCTGGCCCCGGACTCCCGAGGGCAGGGTGCTCCGCTCGTAGTAACGTTCAAGGGAGCCGTGGGTGATTCCCTCCTGACAACAGCATCGTTATCCCGGAGCGCGTAACACGAGCGAACGTGCGTTCGTGCGTGCGTGCGTGCGCGCGCGCAATCGTGTGCGTGTGTGGGTGCGTGCGCGAATTACGCGCCACGTAAAATGCGTCGCGGCGATCCACGCCTCTTCTCGGCCACGTAGGTGCAACACAACGTACCCGACACGACTCCCGGGCTTTCCTCTCGGTCCGTCACTTTTCTCGCACTTTCCACGACCACGGGAACATCGTCGCAGTTGCCTACCTACCCGCCGCACTCTCGTCCCGCGGTATGCTCACGTTACGTTTCGCGCACCGCCCGGCGTACACAGACGCGCACGTACACACACGCACACACACATGCACGCAAAGGGAGAGAGAGAGCGAGAGAGGTAGAAAGAGATAGAGAGAGAAACGAAACACTCTGTCGCCGATGATGATGCGGTGACGCGAGACGATATCCCTCCGATATCCCGTCGATCGACTCTCGAGAGAGTCTCTTTCGGAGTCTTCGCGAACGGAGGACGACGTCGAGTCAACTCCGGGATGTCCCGGGATCAGATCACGGAGGACACCGTCCCGAGATGGTTCGCGCGAACGGGACGCACCGGTGAGAGAGAGAGAGAGAGAGAGAGGAAGAGAGAGAGAGAGAGAGAGAAAGAGAGAGGAGCGAATCCACCCCTTGCGATCGCGCGCCACCGAGACTCGCGTTTGTAACAGCGCTCTCACGCCGACTTCGTCGGAGATCGCACCGCCGCCGCCTCCTCCTCCTCCTTCCCCTCGTCGAAAATCTCTCGCTCTACCTTCTTCACGAACGACCCGCTACCATCGTTTCTCGCCGGCTTGTGTGTTGTGTCGCGGAGAGAGGTGTATCGTGCGGCCCCGACCGTGTGCGATACGCCGCGGCCAGTGGAGTTCTGAGCATGCGAAATGTCGCCTGCCACCCCCGCCCGGTGGTCACGTGGTCGCCTTCGTTCGGCTGGCTCGTTCGGCTCCTCTCCGTCCTACCTCTCTGCCCCTTCATCTCTCTCTCTCTCTCTCCCTCTACTCTCGTCTCGTCCCGTCTTCTCTCGCCTCTTTGTTCCGCGCTCTCGCGCTGTCTTTGTCGTCTTCAAAACCGCCGCACTTCCCCGTCTCCCTCGCTCGCTCTCTCTCTCTCTCTCTTTCTCTCTCTCTGTTTCTCTCTTCGGTCCCTTCCTTTCGTCTCGTTTTTCCCAAGATTTGTTTGTCACACGTTGCAACATGTTCCCGTCATCTGTGTCTTTTCTCCGACGGAGTTTGCTCCGGAACCAAGAATTGTTCTTCTCCTTCCTTTGTCTTTCCTTTCCCTTTATTCCTCGTGTGTCATGATATATTAAAGGAAACTGTATAGTAATATATCATATAAAATACTATATTGTACCTGAGTATTTTTACACTCGCACGTCGACGATCGTCCGATACGTATCTATCTCCGTTGAGAATCGCAATAAATACCTCTTTCTCACTCGTTCCTTATCTCTGTCCTCTTCGAACTCCGTTTCTTCGCCTCCTTCTCACTGGCGGGCGCGCACAGGTCGCTCGTTAATTAGAGTGAGAGGAGCTAACGAGCCATAGCGTATGGTGGGTGATGGCGCGAGAGATAAGAAAGGAAAGAGAGAGAAAGATATAGACAGTGGAAACGAGAAAGAGAGAAAGAGAGAAAGAGAACCAGTGGCTGCTGAGCTGCTCACGGGAAGGGGGATTCACAGGAGACAGTCTACTCTCTTCGAACTTCAACCTCAACACCCGTCCCTCTGACCCCATCGAATAATTGTCACCTCCTGTCACCGTTCATTTGTACAAATCGCTCGGCAATGATGTTTCTCTCTCCCTCTCCCCCTTTCTCTGTCTCCACGGGGCAGGTTTTTTAGAATCACCGGGGGAAACGTGGGACAGCGATTAAAGGGATCTATGGATGATCTTGATAAGGATCGTAGAATACGTGTTTTAGGACCCGACGAATCGGCCGGGCAAAAACATGAGAAAAGTGATGCGCGTTTTCCTCGCGTCCGTGCTTCAATCCGCGTGCTCGCCGAATTGCGTGATGCCCACCACATGTGCGCACATTTTCGGATGTAACATGTATGTAACATATATTGCGTCATATATGTTTTATCTATACATGGTATATTTTTTTAGTTTAGTTTTACGCGTTCCATTTCTGTGGTTTAAACACCGGGCCGTCGATACGGACTCGATTTTGCGCGAACGGCGACTCGTGCGATTCGCCAGAAATTAACGTCGGGGAACGTCAGAACGGAAAGAACGTTCGCAAACGGGTCCCCGAATTCGCGCCGGTCGCGTCCAGTCTCCTCGTTTGTTTTGCGAGCCTTTCGGTTTTTCCACCTTCTCTTTTTATTATAGAGGAATTCTTGACGGGAGGTCCACGCCACGGCACTACGTCATACTCGGCGGGTTCCTGGAAGGCGAGAATATTCCCGCGTCCTTTTTTTCTCGCTTTATCGATTATGGCGCGATAAAAGCGCCGCAAGATATTCGCTTGCTCTGTCACCGCGTGACAAAATAAATTAGAGCCTCCACGTCGTGAGTGGAATAATAATGGAGGGCGAAGAGCGGTGGAGCTCGCGGTCGAGGAAATTAGCTCGCAGCCTCCTTCGACCTTTAAAGTTCAGAACGGTTGATCGTTCGGCAGCTGATGAGGCGGGTGGGAATTTATTTTATTGTTAAATCGAATGAAATTTATCGCATCGAGATTGAATTCCGAACACTCGNCCCCCCCCCCCCCCCGCGTAGGATACGCGGTATCTTTTTTTTCGGGATAAATTACATTTGGCCGACGCGCGTTTTCGACTCGACCTCTTTACGGCTAATGTAACTATAACTAGGCAAGGGGGGCGGAGAGGGAGAGAAGGTGGGTCTGCATTTTTCAAGAACGAGATGACGAGAATGAGCAACAACACGAGCGGCAATGTAATTTTCTATATCTTGTACCAACATCCATTGTACGTTTACCACCCGGGCTCTGATGGATTCTCAAATTTCGTTAAAAGTCTCGCTAACGTTACCATAAAAGCATCTCGAGAAACTTTCGCGTTCCGGCTCCTCCCCTCCCTCCCCGTTCCGCGATTGTTACGTTAGAACGCTTATTATCTCGCAGCTTCTATCTACAATCGATACGTTTGATTGCTTCTCGCACAGTAACCAAGGTTATTTGTAAAATATTCAATTTTACATATTATATGTAAAATTGAACGTATTCGTCCGGCAGAATTTAATACTTCACAGTCAAGAAACATGGTCAAGAGACATGGGTATGTCGGTTTGCCAATTCTGACGCGTTTCCTCTGATAAATAAATATTAAGTAGCAAATGCCTGCACAATGCCTGCCTGCACGAAGTTTCTCTTGCGGCTACACGAGCGTTTCCCATTCTTCGCTAACGCGTACAATTTTCGGGAAAATCGTGTTCCCACCGAGAAGTGAATTCTCGGTCCACGCTGTTAAAATTCGGGATGCGCGATCATCTTGATCGGGGCTTTGTGACGAATGACAAAGAGGAATAATGCCTTTACATAATAGGTAGGTAAACGCGAGGGGTCGGATAATCCAGTTTTTGTGTTTTCACGGTACATCGGACAACGGGGGCCTCTTCAGATTTATAGGAGATCGTCGATCTCCATTTGTCTTTTTGACAGCTGCGTTCGGCCAGTCTCATTGCTCGATGCTCCGTTTGTTTCATAGATTATACCGTATTCTGAAGCAACATCGTCGTTCACGCACGGTAAATTGTTCCGTTGTTGAGTTTACCGAGAAGCTGCGCGGTCAGTCACAAAAATATTGCGATACATTTCTTTCCATAAGTTTCGGAGCACATCTCGCGTCCGGTAGAAGAATTTGCACCGGAGAAAAATTTCCATCGGATAAACCAGTTAAATGATGTACCGGATCGTTATTTTTACCGTCCGATCAAGTAACGGGTGCATTTATCCGACGAAGCACCCGATAAAGTTACCGATGCAGTTACCAGATGAAAATCTAATCGGAAAATTACTTTCGCATTTTCCGCATATCCGTTGTGATTTTCGCTGGATCAAGAGACGATTTGAAGTTCGGATGAAATGACGAAATGACCGGACATTGCACTTGATCGGATATATCCGATGCTTGTTACTTCGTAATTGGATTATCCGATCGGATATGATCGGATTATTTCTCAGTATGTTTTTTTAGCAATTCTCAGGAAATACAGTTTCCCCGCTAGATACGAGATACGTTGCGAAAATAGTCGAAAAAAAAATGTTTGCAACCTCCTCGTGGCCACATTTCTAAATGAAGCTGCTATACAAGCTACTTTTATCGACAAAAGTGAATCAAAACGTGGACCTAAATGACTTGCCTGCAACGAAATCGCTTAATTGGAGCCGTCTCGCTAAATGTTGGGTAACTATCGCCAAACTCTCTTTCCAGCGCACCTGAACCGCGTGCTTTCCGAAATTTGAAGCTTGACGAAGGCTCGAGAACATGGGAATTCTCACGAGTGGCCGTCCCATTGTCTATTATCAGCCGGCCTCGCGAATCAAATTCGCCATGCCTCTCTTCGCCGAAGCTCGCGACTCGCGGTAACCCTGGGAGACAAACGCGATACATCGTGATATCGCGAGAGAGAGAGAGAGAGAGAGAGAGAGAGAAATATCGGAAATATCGTTACGCGCGGATGTCATTGCGCCTCCCGGGGGAGTCGCGAGACGTAAGGTGCGACGTAAGGCGGTTGATAAGGAGAGGTGCGCTGTCTCGAGGCAGACATGGCGTCGACATCCTGTGGCCGACCCACCGCCGCCGAGCGCAGGAGAGATGGCGGAATGGTGGTTGGTACCTTTATGATATAATGGCATGGGAGCTCGCGCCGCGAGAAACGGCGGTGTATATACTTGCTCTCGTGTGCGCAGACAAATCCGACACCGGCGGAGAGAAAGACAGAGAAGGAGAGAGAGAAAGAGAGAGAGAGAGAGAGAGAGGGAGAGAGGGGACAAACGGGCGAGGGCGAGCAAGTTCGGTCGAGTCTCACGAAGTATGCGGGAGGCTTGTGGTCTACCTACGTGCGCGTACAGATGCACGCATACACGCGATACAGCGCAACGTGTGTACACACGTGGTGTGTAACGACCACCCAGGTACATCACGTATAGACGAGCGCTCTAGGAAAAGTGCGGGGTAGGGGGGGGGGGGGATGGACGTAGGGACGTATACGGTGTCGCGCCGCGGAGTGCACACGCGGAGCCGTACGTGCAGGGTGACAATTAGGGTGTTGCCGAAAGCAGCTATTGCTCTCCCTGCCGCCCTCGACAATCGATAGGTACGCGCGTCATCTACGTCGGTCGATGGAGATCCGCGGGGGAGATCCGTCCGCGGATCGGACGTGTTCGTCGATTGCACGGAAAAAGTAGTTCGATTGAATTGACCTCATAAAATGAGCAAACCAAACGCGCTTGCGTTGAAGAGAATTTCCGCTTCTTACCGAGCCGAATTCGGTTCTTACCGTCGGAAATCTCTGTTTATCTCGATTAAAATCCCGGAGACAGCACGGTTGGTTACGTATGTGCGTTCTTAACGTGCGTAATACGATTGTAAAACGTTACGTGCGTTACCCGGGACGCGGTTTCGTTCGCTCATCGCCAGGTGAATTCGAGCGAACTTTCTTTCTCTGTGGAAAACTGAGAGAAAGGACGACAGTAATGACCGCCAAGCGGAGGTTAAGAACAAGCGCGCGTTACTTTGGGCTCTGCAGGATTTCAGGATTAATTCGCGATCAGGCGGTGGAGAGCCGGACGCTCGCTCTTAAAGCGTTGCAGTTAACGCGCGCTTTTCGCGCCGAACACGTGACACGTACGTACCTAAAGTACGTTCCTGCGAAGGTAAATGCGCGCACACACACACACACCGTGTCCATGGAGGTCCTGCGGGTGAGTTTCGGGTCGAGCTAAGTAAGCGAGATATCTCTCTTTCTCTCCTTCTCTCTCTCTCTCTCCCTCTTTCGCCGATGTGCGCAGCGTGTTGGGACGCAGGGAGACAAAGTGGATGTGTGTGCAACGAGGACATCGGTGTGAGTAGGTAGGTAGGTATGTACCAACGTACGGCTCTCCCTTCGTTATACACAGGGTGTCCCATTGCTAAGAACAAAGACCGCCGGTTACCGACCGGCCGAAGATGTGCTCTTTGGAATATCCCCGGTAGGAAGTAACATGCTTGAAAAAGAGGTCTCATACGAAACAGAATTAAACTGTGACGACTCTTCCACACATCGGGCTGGGCCATTGTAATAAAGGTATTAATGAATACTAATAGAAATATGGAAGTATACCAAGAGAAAGAGGGAGAGAGAGAGAGAGAGGGGAGGTAGAGAATATTCGGAATATGATTATTAATTATTGGATTCTCTAATAACACATTGCATTGTCGTTACATTGGATCAACATTGTCCAACGTAGGCCAATGTTGAGCAAATATAACGTCAATGAAGTTATTGGATGCAGCTTGTCGCAGGCAAAAAGGATCGGAAATTCCCTTTTCCTCGAGCGATCTGTCACAAGAATGGCTGTCAATTGAATTACTACAACGGAATGTAGGAGAAGACGAAGAAGGAGACGTTTACCTAACCCCATTTACTTCTTACAATTCCGAGCGTGGCTTCAATCTTTCAAATTTCCGATAAACCCTCGCGAGAGGAGTCCCAGCAAGTATCGGCCGATGTCTTACTTCCGCGATGAAAATACCGCATTCGAGAGACCTCGTGAGAGACGGATTCCTAAAAGTTTCCTCCTAGACATTCGTGTACTTCTGCGGACCCGCGGTGGAATGCTGTCGGAGTCGCGGTCCGTCGAGTGTCCTCGTCGTTTCTGGAAACGACCGGCGCGCAGCGACGTCGAGGAAGATAGAGACCCGGTTGAACGTGGAATGTCGTCGACGAAGCAGCGCGTCGGGCCGCGCGGCCAAACAGACCGGCGACTTTCCGCGCGCGCGAATTGAGTCGCATTCCCGTCGGCCCGCCAGCGAATGACGAATGAATGATTTTCGGCGCGGGACACCCTGTGTGTGCATGTAACGCAGGCGCAGGCAGCTGTCACCTTACACCCATGGAGGAGGCATGGGGCTCTGCGGCGGCCATTCTCAACTTATCTCTAGGATCTTTGTAAACATGTCGTGAAATCCGAGTATTCCGACAGTGGCGTAGATCACGGGGTGGCGAAGTGGAGAGACTCTGTCGGGAGGCTGCGCCGGTCGAAATTCAAATCGGGCCGAGTCCGACGCGATCGCCGTCGTCGACGACGACGAGTTCGAATTTCGATTCGTCGCGGCCGCGCGTTAATGACTTCCGCTTATATTCCGCGAGGACGACGACAATCGCCCTCTGTCTTCTTCTCATTCCTTCCCTCCTCCCTCTAAGTCGCTTTTCCGATTCGGCCTTCTATTCCGGCATCGCGCTGTTTCCCGTCCCGATTAAAATCCTCGCCGGCGTCCAACGCGACGGCGTCGCGACGTTGCTGCGTGCTCGTGGTTCCCCTGGCAACCAGGACCACAGCGTCACTAAATGGGAGCGCATCTTTGTTCCGTGCTAATAAAAAGGACGCGCCGGCTTATACCGCGTGTGTCTCGCCCGTGCGTCCTCGTTTCGTTTCGCTCGGGATATGCGCTTCGGTTGCGATGACGATTCGGAGGCTACGGGGAAAATTACGCGTTCCCGATGGTGAAGTCTGACTTCGTGTCGGGAACACACGGAAACTTCCCCCGGTGAATGTGGATCCGGAGAGGCTGTTCAACGAAATGGGCCGTATCGTGGGCTACTTGATTTTAACGATCCGTTCGATTGTCCAGCTGTCCGACGCTCGGAATTAAGGAAAACTGCAAAAGTAGAGAGAATTCGAGACAAAAATTTCACCAAGAGAAGTCAGCCGATAGTTGATCGCTGAGACAAGAATATACGTGTGAGCGAAGCTGTCGTACGCGTGGTTATTCAGCACCCTATATGTACTCGAGGGTTTCGCGGCGAATTGGTATTTCGATCGATCGTGTTTTAATACATCGGCAAATATCGGTCGCCGACGTCCCTTATATATAGTCGCCAGCTCTCTTATTTTATCTCATCCCATTGTCGTCTCGCGTTAGAGTTAGAGCAATAACTAATGGATGAAGTGAAATCAAATTAAAAATTTACTTGTATTAATATCAAGCACCTAATCGTGGAGACAGAAATTATTATAAATTACATATTTCCCCCCCCCCCCCCCTCTCTCTCTTTCTCTCTCTCTTCATATCTCGCAATTGTAAATGAACTTTGACCTAGGTGGAAAAGACGTGAATTTGGACAAAAAATGAAGGCAAGGAGAGAGAGACAGAGAAAGAGAGGGAAAGATTCACATTTACAATTTAAATGTTTGCAATTATCTCTATAAGCGTGTAATATTCCTGCATTATATGAATATTACTAAATATTGAAATAATATTCTTATAATATTTTAAGAATGTTATGCAATATTTTTGTTATATTATAGAAATGTTCTTATGATATTAAAAAAATAATAATATTATAGAAAAATTTAAATAAATAAATAAATAAATAAATAAATATATATATATATATATATATTTCGACTTTATTTATAAATAAAACAACTAATATTGCAATATATTTGAAATAAAAAAACTGCAATTATATATATTATATATATACACACAGAGTTGAATATTTAAAAAAATATATATTATTAAATAATATTATTTTTTTAATATTATTAAGGGTGGATATATAATTATCTATTCTTTTAATTAATTCCAGAAATATTGCTTAATATTAAATAATATCATGCGCTTATAGGGATATGACATATATCTTTCGTCCCACCTATTTCTCTTCTCTTATGAAATGGATGTCGCTTACTGTCGAAGAAAGAAACGATGTTCGCTTATCGTCGGCGTTATCTGGGCATTCCACACATATACATACGCACACACTTACATACACGCACACGCGCGCGCACACGCACACACGCACACGCACGTGTATATACGCACACGAAAAATAATAGCATTTCTTCATACAATTATTCATCGCACATTTCTCCAAGACAGGTGGAGCGTTTTATTTGAAAACGTACATTATGTATAACATTACATCATGTATAACGTATTAATAAGAGCGTGTATAGTTACTGTTATGTGACATTTCGAGGCTATTGAAGATTCTGAGCCTCAGGACTCGCCAGACAAGAACCGCAGCAACGTGAAACATAATACAAGTTGCACCAGCCAGTCCTAAGCTCAGCCATGCGAAGCAGCCAGCGGCTAAGGAACGCGACGTACGAATCAGATTACATCTTGCGTTGGCTGCTTATCTTTATTCTTCACCTTACATCGCCTCGATTCACCTCATTTCGCTTCAGTGACCAACCCTTCGATCAGCGTCTTATAACGCCGGTACGCACGATCACACATTACGAGTAAATATATGCATATTATATTTGTTACAGATATTTGTACGTGTATGTATATGTTACATACTTTAAGAATATAAATATATATATATTTAGAAACATATTTATTTGCAATAAATTTTCGGGTGTTACAGTTCAATGATATAATTTTCTACATAGAATGTTGGCAAGTCCATAACGTAAAACATGAAGAAATCCAAACGATTCCTTCGATAAAGAATTTTTTACATAAATCTTTGTCACGTGTTTGTAATGTATAAAAACTATCTTAATCTTCAGCGTTTCCATCAGAGATTTTCGAAAAGAAATTTGATAGAATCTCAGGGAGATATTCGTCGCATTGCGACGAGAGATTTTAATAAACGTAAATTCGGCCGACTCGGTAAACTTGGTGATTTACTTATCACAATCGAAATAAAAAGGGGCAGAGAGCCGGAAAATTACGTAACATCGGTAATTTACAAAAGAAATATATTTATTTTTTTTCATATGACAATTGCTTTTCTCACGTCATACACACACACTTCAAAACTATAATTTCATAACTTTAAGTGTCATAAATTTTTAGTGTTATGTTAAAAATTATAATACTCTAGAGCAAGTACGATGACAAATCTTATTCGGTATCGGCACTGGTGGTCTGTATGAATACTGGAGCTTGCGCGCCTTGCGCGACTTGTATGAGTTGCGGCTGGGTCTGAATTGGAGCGGTCTGTATTATTATCGGCTGATTGCTGCCGCCCTGTACCTGCATACGAATCATCTGCAGTTGTTGGGGAGTCAGTTGTATCTGAAAGAAAGAAGCGGAAGATGAAAAGTCGGGACAAACGTAACATACAATACATACGAGAGCCTGATTTTTCTATTTACGGTTGTAACCTGAACGTGGTTACTTACTGGTATATTCTGTACTTCACCGCTAGGAGCGACCACCTGCTGTATAATCTGTAGCCCTCCAGTTTGAGAGGTGGGTGACTGTTGTGCCTGTTGCAGTTGAATAATTTGCTGGCCCGACGACTGTTGCGGACTTTGCACCGTGACCGTTTGCGTCGTACTCGTGCTGGTAGCTTCCTAAGATTTATAAACAGGCAAAAGACAGTTGAGCGCACTTGTCTGTTTGATTTCTCAAATCAGTCAAGAGCTAATGAATACCTGTTCCACCGAATTCCCGATGTTGATCGTTTGTATCTGCCCGGCGGAAGGTTGAACGATTTGTATGGGTTGTGTGGTGGCGGTACTACTCTGTACATTTTGATTGGCCGACGCCTGCTGTTGAGCCAGTTGAAAGTAATAGTGCACCTGATCCGAGTTCATGGACGTACGTACGGTACTCTCGGTCTGCGCTTTGCTTTGCTTCAGTTCGTCCCTAGGTACTATGTCTATGAGGAAATCAAATTGATCGTATTTCGTGATTGCCATCGCGATGTCGTTTCGTTGGAGGGTGCGTCGTTTGTTGTCTTCCGTGTGTACCCATGCCCGGAGGGTAAGCTCGTGTATAAAGATCTCCGCGGCTTTGGAAAAGAGCATGGGTGCCTCAGCGCTGATCATTTTCACATCGCCGTCCAGCTTCATAATCTTTTTTATCCTAGCTAATGGCAACGATTGTGTTTTCAGGTCCATCTATGGAAAAAAAATTGTTGATTCAATAAAAAAAAGGAATGTTAAGCAAAGGATCTAACTGCACTGTGTAGTCATTACGTGATGTACTAACGGTTGTGATTTTTTTTATCTCCTCCGAGACCTTTGGCCAGAACTGAACTAAGGATTGTTGGGCCTCGGAACTGCCTGGTGACGCAATTTGCAAGTCGCCATTTGAATCTCCTTCCACCTCGCTGTCTTGATTACTAAGAAAAATTATTGACACTGTGAGCAATGCAATACGTTAACTCGCAATTAAGTTTCTTATATTTCAATTGGTTCTTATGCTTTAGCAATAGAATAAAAAAAGAATTAATTCTTTAGAAATAGAAATAAAAAGCAAGGACAAAATGATCTTTGTTACAAACCTCCCTGATGAAAGTATTTTACTGAAAATCAATGAAATTTTACTGAAATATATTTGAAACTCTCTCTCGATCAACTCTATTTTATTATTATTCCATTAATATTTTAGTAAAAATTCAGTAAATTTTATGATATGTAATATTTCAGTATTACATTAAATTTCATGAGGAAAATTATGATTTATTTTGAAGTGTATTCAATAATTGAAGTGTATTTTGAAGTATATTCAATAATTTTTCAATGACTTTCATTTCACTTTTCATCGATTTCATAATACTTTCAGTAAAATATTTCTATCAGGGGTATACTAGTATAAACAAATAAGATCACGATCAAAGGTCTGTTTGTTACCGCTGAACCAGTGCGCACTTACAGAATCTAAAAAACATATACAGCTATCGTTTCGTATAAAAAAAAGAAGAGAAATAGAACGTGTGCAAGCCAACACAATCAGTTCAGCTATAAAGAACAGACCTTAAGTTTAATATTTTAGGCTTCCACAGTATGGAACCAGAAATTGACTTCAAGTTGTTCCTCTTTGTGAAGCAGTAACCTGTGAAGTACTGAAATATGCACACAAAATTCAGGAAAAGATGTGATACTAACCAGGAAGCTACACTGCTCCTACTTCTCGTACGCATTTCTTGATTGAATTGTTAGATATTTTGCAGCAGATTATAATTATAAAAATATAATGTATTATATTTTTATCTGTTAAATTTAATTAAAACCTGATTACCTCACTGATACTGCTATCAAATTTTTATATCAATAATTCCTACTTTTCCCATTTGATACAGTGATGTTACAACAGGTGTTAGTAACATATAACCTGAAAATGCACTTATTTACTTACGCATTTACGAAGAACACAGACATTTCCGTTCGCCGGTTTTTTGTGGTTACACGAAAGTTGAATTTCCTATTCTACGAAATTACTCCTATCCTCTTGTGACGAATTTTGCAAATAAACATGGCCTTTTAACCATGGCTTCTCAATGAAATCAACGATTACACGTAACCTTATTATTACAGATCTCTGCTACTATAAATATTATTATATTGGAAATTTAGTTGAGTATTTGGGTACGTGAAATCAAACAAATAAACTCGATGCGTTGCCGGAAATACGTTAGTGGTAACGTTAAATTAATCACACAAATTAACACAAAAATAGCTACGAGCTTCGACTCGTTGATTTCTGTGTATATGTTGTCTGTAGTGAACAGCATTGCCAATTCGAAGTTTTCAAGACCTGTCATATGCCTCGCTAAAAAAACCCCCAGAATAAGCTAAAATTAAGTCCGCTGCACATTGTGTTTCTTTTATTGGCTCATTTCTAGTAAGTTACTAGAACATAATATAGGCCGAGTCTACACACGCTGCAAATCATCGATTTAAAGCCCGTATCAGTCTACGGATTAGAATTGAGATTGAATTAAAATTTGGTCAATCAGAGCAAGATTCACTAAACCTGAATTTAACGTCGTTTTATCTTTATTGCTCATCAGATGTAAAATAAGAATAGAATAACATTTTTGTGCTGACAACGCACCCTTCGAACACACCCTACGGCTGCATTCCGATATTCACTTTCAGTACTGAAAATCTATAATTCATATCACATATATTATAGATTTTCAGTAGTGACAGTGAATATCGGAACGTAGCCTGAATAAGATTTTACATTTTAGTGGTCGAGCGTTAGCATGAAAAGATAGCTTTAGGGTTTTATAGAGACTTTTCCGACACACATTAGAAGAGAATCTTCGAACAACATGGCCACCCTACAGAGAGCTATCTAGGTTTCCTGTTGTTTTTGTTGTGTCCATTAGACGATCGCGTCCCTTACGAGAGACGCGAGATTATCGCAGTGTAAAGGAAAAACATAAAAGGACTACACATGAAGATATTTCCCGTCCGGTACTACGATTTATTTCCGTAGAGAAGAACAATTCACGAGCCTACAAAATCATCGAAAAATCAGGTTTGCACAATTTTTATATTAGGTTATGCGTATATGTGCAATAAGGGCATTTTCACACATCAAGTACATACGATAGCTGTGTCTACGCGAGGACAATGTACGTAAATTCTGTATAAATATGTAAACAATAAATAATCCATAAACTAATTCACAAACGAACCAAGTCACAGATCACTAACCACGTTTTGTTTATAAATACAAGTCTACAATAGGTACAGTAAGTTTTCAACTTTTTTTCTCTAAACAATGAACGTAATTTTTGACAGATGTTTTACTGTCAGAAGTCGTGACAGATGTGTTCCTGTCAGTAGTAACGCTTAAATCGGAGGAATCGCAGCGTCCGATAGTGCTGGAAGCGCTTTTTGCTGAAAATTACAATTTTAATATTTAGAGCAAAAGCTTACTGCATCCATTATAGATTCAGGTTGCGTTCCGTTATTCATCGCGAATGCTGTCAGTTTTGCGAATGTTCCGATACGGGCTGCGGCACATGCGAAAATATTACGAACGCTATGGCGTCACTAATTTTGATGTAGATGTTACGACACTGCGCACGGCGAGGTAAAACAGTCGCGATACAAGATGGCCACTTATCCAGTTACTGAAATATCCTTAATAGTTTACCGAAATTGCATTTTAAACTCCATGTCTGAATATGACGAAACAATATTTTCAACATAACTTTTACATACTTTAAGTATCCGAATTCGCCGATTTATTTCTTTCCACATTTCGACATCTGAATTGTTTTCATTTGAATCACGTCTTCATGTAATTTTTAAATTTACAGTATTAATAAATTTGTAAATTAATTTTTGTTCGACATTTTGTTAGATGTTCTCCTATTTTTGGTGGCACCACAAGATATGTAACAGATATAATCTGAAACTAAATACAGAAAGCGTACTGTTTTATAGTCGCGTTCTGTTTTATAACCTCGAAAGCACGCGAAAGCACGCGGAATTAAAACGGAACGCTGAAAGCCGCATATTTACATGCTTTGATAGCATCAGTACTCGCAGTGAACAACAAAATGCACCCTCAGCTTAACGAAAAAATTATGGTTTCATACGTCATTTATCAAATACATAAATGACATATGAAATTGATCAGCTTGAGGCGCTTTGCAGAAATTATCAATCTTTCCGAGTATATATAATAATAAATATTTTCAAATAATTAAATAATAATAAAAGATAAATAATTAATAATAATGATAAGCAAGAAATAAATAATTAATAATCATAAAATAATATATAAATAACTTCATTATTCGATCGAGAAAAAAATTGTTTTATGTACCTTATTTTTAATTTTACTCGAAAAATTTCATCGTTATATTAAATTATTTTGTGAAATCTGACATTTTTGTTAACATTTTTTTCACTTTATGTTGTGCCTATCTTCATTCCCATGTTTAGACCGAACGAAAGATAATAAAAGCAGTTTATTTAATTTCGTTGACACACATAATGCGTACCGAGTACGCCGTTGAATAGGTATTTTTGCGTAAGATCTCTTTGTCAGAGAGTTTCGAAGATAAAAGCCTATTCGGTACCGCAAGTAGTTAGTTATTTATTATACTTTCGGACGCGGGCTGACCGTGGCCTAATTCCTTATTCTATTGTATTGATCGTTCGATCACCCCATTGGTCGATAGGGCGTGACGCCTTGCGGATTCGCGCGCCGAAACTCGCGCACGTGTATGTACAGTCGGCATAACGAAAATAGCGACACTTTTTTTTTTTTATATAAGTTTCACAATACTTTTGTCCGATAGGAGAATTCGTTTTTTTAATAATTCTCAAGAAATACATTTTCCTTCGATACGAAGTGCGTTGCAAAGCTCATCGAAAAAAAAATGTTGCGACATTTTTCTGCCGACTATACGCTAAAGCTTTCCTCAGTAACGGCCGCGTTTTTCCGGAATAAGTAGCATTTAACAAGCATGCGGCTCGTTTTTCATCTATTTTCTTTCCGACTGCAATTAACGGAATTTTCAGTTCGGAAAATGCTTAATATTCAATGCGTCAAAATGACGTACGTTTGTTATCTAAGCAGTCACATCAAATCCTTAACTCTGACACTACAAATCATCTGCCAAACGTACACGCGTAGTTTTTACTTTCCTTCTCCCCTCAGCGACTACGATCGCTGACTCATACGTGTATTCCTCCGCTGAACGAATGACCTCAAAACTCGGTCGGTGGCGGACCTAACGAAACTGCCCTAGGTGAGTGGCTTTGTTTGGAAACCCATTATATTTCTAAGACACATCGTATTATTTTTACATAAATTTTCATATTTTCTAATAGACAAGAATGACGCGCAACTTTTGTAATCTTCCTATTTGCAACTATCTTCGTAACTAACAGAATTAAATATATGAACTTAATTTTATAGTTTTAACTATACAGTAAACATCACGTATGGACAATACATAAATTATCCTACATAATTGTAGACGTAATTTTAAAATCTACGACACGGCGCCGATGTGCAATACGATGTGCGTTTGAGAATAAAGTGAGGAGCAAAACAATTTGAACGCTTTGAAATTGGTTATGCAAAAAGATGTCACGATGATTGATACCCGTTTCTACCATCGTGGTTTAAATCTGATCGACGATTAACTCAATGGAGTTGACCAATCACATTGATCGGTTCAAGCAATCGACCAATGCGATTGGTCGGACGATTCAATTCCATGGAATTAATCGTCAATTATTATCTAAACTATGACGGTAGAAACGTATATGAAAGTCACGTTACCGACGCGCCTGCGTAGCAATCGATTATAACAACAGAAATTTATTTTCACATCTTGTCACTTCGGCTGTTGTCATAATCGATCACTACGCAGCCAATTTCAGGGCGTTCACACCGTCTTGCCCCCACTATATACAGGGTGTCCCAAACTAATCTCAGTTCCCGTGGTGTACAAGTAGAACGGCTGAAAGCGAGCAGAAAAGTCCTATACTATTTTGCAGATAACACGCAAACTGTTGAATTATTAATTAAAGAAGCCTCTGTAAATGACCATTTTCAGTCATTGATAACTCGAGATTTTGCGCGTTATTTACAAAATGGTACAGGACTTTTCTGCTCAGTTTCACCCGTTCTACTTGCTACAATACGGGAATTAAGATTAGTTCCGGACACCCTGTATACACCGACAGGTGGTGAATCGTATCGTGAGAGGGAAAATGTTCTCTTCCATTCTGACACGTCATTTTGCGTCAGAGTGGGAAAACAACATTCTCCTCTTACGAAACGATGCATCGCTGGTCTGTGTACAGTTAGAATTTTTACGCACGATACAACTGTAAACACAAGACATAAACTCAAAAAGCTGAAGAACCAATCAGAATATTATTTTAGGTTCGTGTACTTTAGAACAATTACATATACTTTGGAATAGTGCTCGGATTTGAAATTTCTGAGTGATTTTCGAGGACTATGCCTATTTTCTTTTCCTGCCCCTTGTTACTCCCGCTTGTCCTTCGAGCCGTGCGACTAATAGTCATTGCGCCTCGGGCACTCACTCAGCCTCGGGACTGTCAACTTCATAATATCTGCAAGATGTTCCTTGGTTTCTGAAAAGTTCTTATTGAAACTAATCTTTTATGTATATTGTTTCTATACCCTATCAGCATAATATATATTATAATTTACAACGATGCAACCGTAGTTTCGACAAGAATTTTTCAATAATTAAGAAACGCCTCACAGGTCTTGTAAATATGTCGGACCTGAAGTTACACACCGCGACTATCAATCACTTGGTTCGACGGGTAAACAAAAGAGAGAAGGAGAAGAAAATAGGTGTAGCGCTCGGAAAGATCCCGTCGTCCGTTCCTCGCAGTTATCCGCCGCGAAAGAAGTCAAGTTATTGTGTTATGTAATGTGATATTAATTGTGATATTAATTCGGGTATTATCTTTCAAGGCCATGACTTTTGGAGTGCTGGTCCTTAAGGTAGTTGGTCTATCAAAACATTTTCTCAGAAATCTTTTTAAACTGTGTGCTGATGGAAATATTATCTACGCGTCTGTAAAGTTAAAAAAAAATTCGGTAAATGAGACATTCGCAACTGAAGATGACATTTTTTATTCGTGTTTCTTGATTATATGTATAATGGACTTTTAATTTCCATTTTTTATTTATTCTAACCATATTTAAGACTTTAATAACTGCTGCGATATTAAGAACTAATTTAGAGATATTAAACACAAATTTCTGAATTTTTGACCTGTTTGTTTTGAAGAATATAGTCATACAAAATTTTCAATTTATAATAACTCCCATGATATATGTACAGTCGTGGACGGAAAGGTTATCGTATTTTTTTTCCAATGCAGTTCGGAACACAAACATAATAGTCCAACGAGAAAGAATTCGTTTCGAAAAACAAGTTCTCTCATTATTAGATCGTCGATTGTATGTACATACTTAAATATTTATATATCAATTTCTATTATGTATACACCTCTATTATCTCAATTGACGTATATAACATTAATAAGCATATTAATAAGTATATAACATTAATAAATACAGCATTAATAAGAAAAATAAAAAAATAAATAATATCTCCGTGTTTGTAATACTATGTATATATTTGTTTTTATTTCTCACGAAATTAACATTTACTAATTAGATAGTTAATCAAAGTTACAGGAAAAAATTTTTTTTCAGTAAATAATAAATGAAGGGGCTCCTTAATATCGCCCTGAAAATCCGGCACTCTACGGATCAACTATCTTAAAGTATGGATGAATGCAAAATACTTATCGAGGATGAAAAAGAAGAAATTATATCAGACCTCGAGGAGGATTTTACAATAGGATATTTTATTCTTTTAGAAGACTTATTATCTGGCTATCCTCATGTTTCACAATTTGTACATAAACTGTATGATCATATCAAGAAGCAACGAAAGGAAATTAATAATCTACGAAATAAACTTGCTGAGCAGGTATCCCTGGCAAAATAATTGTTCTTACGTATAATGATATAAAAAAAGGGTCATTTGAAGTGTTACCAGCTGAAATTAAGTATGACTGCTTCGAAAAACGGCTTACTTCTGAAGATCTAGCAATGATTTCAGTGTACACTTTTTGAACTGGCACAGTCAGTACAGAAATAGGAAATAAATCTATTGTGGCTAATGAAGAATTCATAGATTGACTATAGAAATATATATGGATCTAGATTTCTATAGTAAAGAGAATTAATATTGGCATTTTTTATATAATTTCTTTAGTATAGATTGTGAAACGTTACTTTTTTTTCTTTTTTTAGAAACATCAAAGCTTACCTCATGAGAAAACATATGTAGACGGTGAAACCCAGACAAACCCCTCGAATCTTCATGAATCTTTATCACAAAATAAATCTTCATCGCAAGATTCGGATATTAATAGTAATGATAAACCACCTACTACTACAATAGATCAAATAAAAAAGATAGCGGAATCAACTTTATCACAAACTGGTTTTGGATACAAAGAAACACACGGGATATATTATGTTTATAACAGTGGATATTATTTTGACACAGTATGTATCTGATTAAACTCGTATAAATCGATTCTAGACATAAAGAATAAAAATAATGAGCATTAATATTTATATAATACTAATATTATTTTGAAGAGATATGGCCTATATTATGATGGAAATACTGGAATATGTTACTACTACGATAAAGTTAACAACACGTATCAACTCCACAGTCAAGTTGAAGTTCGTACAAATGAAGCTACCAATGTGTCTCTTCCTTCCATGCAAAAGTTGGAGGATGCTGGGAAAGTAAATGAGGTCACTATTCATGCAATTAATTACGTACTTAGTAATATTCGCACTTTTTTATAAGGAAATATTTGATATGTCCCTCCTATTTTCAATTACAGGCTTCAAATGAGATAGACGGATTAATAAATAGCTTCTCAGATATAACACTTGAAAGATGTAGGCCACAAATTCCAGGTAATTATTTTAATATGCGTACGTGAGTTTTTTTGTGGGATAATGTGAAAAACAAAAAATAAAACAAAGAAGAAAATTCGACAAAAACGTGAGGATGGTGAATATTTAGGGAGCGAAAATGATGATATCTGAGAAAATGATTCTCCAGAGAGCGATGTCCAAAACCGGGACATAAGACGTCTTTAAGGGTTTCGAAAGGATAAGAATGTTGTTAATTTCAGATTTAGTGAAAATTGAACCATGCATGAGAATGATTGTCATAGAGACCAATATGGAGGAATTAAAAATAGGCAGTCTCTTTCTCGTAACATGCACAGGAGGTACAGTAGGTAGAAAAGGAGATCACTTGTTGTTAATACCGGATGAAAGTATCAGCAAGGTATAATCATTGTTTCAAAGTTCCTATCCTCATATATGCACTTGTACTTCATTTTTTTTTTTACTATAATATTAATAATAACTACGTATGTATGTATTCACAGCATCACGCACGCTTTATATATGACGAAACTGACAAACAATATCGGATAATCGATTATGGCTCAACGAATGGCACATTTTTGAATGGCAAGAAGCTATCGGAGTTTAATCCTTACGTGATAACGCACGGTTCGACCATAAAGATTGGCGAGACAAAACTGGTATGCCATATTCATTACGGAAGCGAGTCATGCGATTATTGCGACCCGGCAATCATGGAAATCAAATTGAATCTTAAGAAAAGTTCCATCGACAAGTAAGCATCTTGCAACAATGTTTGGAGTAAACGAACTCGCGCTCTTTAGATATGTAACTATTGAATTTCATCGAGGATTCATTGACCGCAGGCCGATACCGAAACATAACAAGGGATACGAAATGCTTATGAAAATGAACTGGTCGGAGGGTTGTCCCTTGGGCAAAAACAAAGACGGGATAACGGAACCCGTAAGTTATTTCCTCAACGTCATTAACTTGTCTCAGTTAGCGCAAGAGGCGATTTTTGCGCTTCTGTCTCGCGCATACACTGTGTCTCAGTTTTGATACACTGGATCGCGATATCTTCAAGATATCCCTGTGATTTTACATACACACATAACACACGCGTTGTATTGCATTTATATTGTTGAATGGGAAATTATAACATTGATGTTATGTTACTATTAGTTAATGCTCACCGGGATACGGTTGGTACATGGAATACGCCATTCGGCCCAAATACATGATGTTTGATTGAATATTGAAACTGAAAATTACACTGTAACGAAGAATCATAGTTTTCTGCGATGTTTCAGATACGTTTTGTAAAGAAGAAATTTTTTCACAATTAAGCAGCATATATTGTCGACACCTTGGAATCAAGTTTTCGTCGTATGGAAAATGCGCGACCGTTTCGAATCAAAATAAAGTCATTTTGACTTTCTGACTTTGGTACGTTCTTTGGGTAATTTCTCATTTTATGTCGATTGACGTAAAAATAACGTGATATTTTTGACATCGTCATAAAAATAACATCACTTAATCATCATTTTTAAAGATTATATGACTAAGTTCTGTTATAACAAGAAGGATCTTGGATCGATCGAGGAGAACTTTCCCAACATCGAAATTGATCCTAACATGGAGGAAAAACAAACAGTATGATGAAAAACACAAGAACGTTTATAACGAAATAATGGATTGAGACTCGTTGGCGAGATAAATCCCGTATCATTTCGAATTAAATCGAAAACTTAGAATACAAAAGTGACTTGCAATTACTTGTAAATGTTGGAAACGTTTCCCTAGAAAAATCAATATAATGATTTTTCTTTATAAAATTAATAATTGTTAATAATTGTTAGTTGACTTATTATTCAACATATTTGCTGTTTTGTCGGACGTATTCCGTGTCGTGTACTGTCGTGTTTCATATATCGATAAGTCTCGTCTTATTGTAATCAATTTGCAGAGTTGGGTAAACTAATTTTTACTTTTAAAAGATAATGCCCGTAAAATCAATTTAGGTAAACTGAAGATTATCTAATTCGAAACTAAATTAAAAGTTAAGTTAAATTAACTTAATAAAGTTAACAAATTAATTATGCAGTCATATACGTATATACATGCTTTTTTCATATAATCAACTTTTTAATCGTGAATTTCTTCATCGTAAATTTATGCTATAAAAAAAGTATTATAAGAAAGTATATGTATTATAAATAATATTATAAATGTATTATAATATAGTATATATTATAAAAAAGTATATGTATTATAAGAAAGTACTAACTTTTGTGTCTAGTATTCCATACAAAAAAAAGAACTATTCAACAAAACAAAAAAGTTCTACTAGTATTTTTGATTTTTTGATTTTTCTTATTTTTTTATAATTTTCTTATTTTTATTATATTATTAGTTTATTACTTCTTATTTTATTACATTGTGAGCAGTCTGCAATGATTTTAATATCGACGAATTATTTCAACTTGTATGAAAAAACTTAAAATAAATTATAGTTAATGCATTTTAAAATTAACTAGTTTAAATTAAAAATCAACTTTCTTAGAATTAACAAAATTAAGTAAAAAACTAATTTTTTAACTTCTAACTTAGTAACTACCAGTTAGTAGTTACCAGTTATTAATAGCTAGCAATTAGTTGTTACCCAATTCTGTCAATTTGACGTGGTAGGTGATAGTTCCTTATCGGCCATTTGCAATGTTCGTTAATAAATGTGGCATTAAGTTTCTCGAATCAAAAGATACGGTGGTGAAGTCTCGGCTAAGTGTTCGCCCGAAGCGACGCACAAATCGAAACTGGGTGTATATATTTATGCGATGCCTCTAGTTGAGCAAGTTGCAAGATTATTCGTACCGTAACGTACCTGTAATGGCTGATCCGATTGAGTTCTGAGCGGGCTCAATCGATTTCTCTCAGGGTCCAATTACATGAGAAAACTGTCCTTATTTTTGCCAGACCATGATCTTATATGAAATCTATAGACTGAATTGTAAAATGCTTTAAGTCCGTCTCTCGTTACCATTACTCTTACCTAAGTTATACAGCCTGTTGAACTTTTTATGCTTGAAAAATTCTTATACTTGGAAAAGGTTAGATGACCTTTAATTTTTCAGGTCAACGACAAGGGATTTCCTAATAATGATAACTACATAATGAAAGATTGATAAAAATAATTACTGCTATCTGTTTATTTTTTTACAAAACGTTCTATATATAAATAAAATATGACTATATATATATATATATATATATATATATTAATGTATTATAAGATAACTATATAGATAAAATTATACTATCTCTGTACATAACAATGTTAATCGTGCATTGCCTTGTAACTGCAGATTTTCTGGAAAACTGAATTCAACACCTCTTTGGCGGTATGTGTATCGGTATTGTTTATTCTTATTATACTTCCAAATTCCCTGATGTAGTGATCCAGTTCCTTGTCACCTGACAAATCCTTCGTCGCCATGTATTTGTTAGTGAGCTGTGACAATTTTAATAAATCGGAGCTAAACGCCTCGTCCAGATCGAACAGCTCTAAAGCGGGTGGCGGCAATTCTTGAAAACTCGGTGGAAATACCTATGGATTCGTTTCGGTTTTACGTTGCGCGAAAATGATTTTAAAGAATTCGGTGTAACTATGTAGAGATAATTTTACATAATTCTATATATAACACTCACCGACGCCTGTGTGGGGGGTAATGGAGCTTCGAAATGAGGCGAAATCAAGCTGAGTGGCTCATGTTTCACACTCAAATCTTCGTACGCCTTTATACTAGCCGGTATCATGTTCAGATTGATGGAATAGAAGTGATGTTTGAACAGTTTCGTGTATTCACGAGGTATATCTATGTTGTCCAAGTCTTGGGTGCAAACTTTCGGATTGTCCGCTTGTTGCGTTATATCCGGCACGAAATTATATTCCCAAAACTGCACGCATAAAGACAAAGCTTCGTTAAAGGAGGGAATCCAGAACTTCCGAAAAAGCGAAATTTTTTTCATATTTTTATAGTGTACCCTCTCGAGAATATGTTCCTATAATTGTATAATGTTCTCTCGTAATTCGAAAAATCAACGAAGTTATATGCGATTTTAGTTTGTTTTAGGAGATTTAGATTGTTATCCGAGTATTCGGCGCGCTCAAGTAGAGATTTTTGTATTCGAAAAACCCCAGGCATCCAAATAAAGAAAGAAAAAGATCATCTATATTGAGAAATATTCTTCATTCTTGCCTATTAATAAATCACGTTGCATTTTCTAATTTCGCACAAACTTACGTCCACATCATCAGTGTGGGGATCCGCTGTTTCCGCAATATTTAATTCAAAGAAGTCAAAGATCATCTCGCGCAACGAGTCGTTATTCTGCTTCTCAATATAAGTATCCGTCAGCATTCTGGACGAACCTAACACAACCAGTTTGCCGCCGCCGTTCTTCACGCAATGATACGCGCAAATAGGTCTGTTCATTGGAATGGCGATGGACCCGCTCGACAAAGCGACAACCGATGGCTGCACTACGTTCAGAGTCGCCCCGTAAGGGTACAAGAATTTCATACCGCTGAAAAGATTATCTATTAACAAGCGAGTTCGTGCAACATAGATGTATAATGTAAATTAAGGGTTAAACATAATTCTGTCTCTTGCTGAAAAATCATCTTACATGTATTCATTGTGATTTCTCAGAAAGACGGACTTGTTTGACAGGCCCTGGCAAATTAAAGATTCCTTGGGATGCATAGTTTGACTGTAAGTCATACGAGCTACGCTATCTGCAATCATAGAAGTTATTATATAAATTTTATGTGCTTGTTTATTTATATTTTTACTTGATAAGAAAGATTATAATTGTATATTGTTAAGGATTATTTTACACACCATTATTTACCATTATGCCAAACTCTTCCAGCAAGAAATTGATATTTGTGTTAGACTTATTTTCACCACCTTCTCCAAGTGTGACAAGAACATTGCCACCGGAATTCAAGAAGGTTCGGATAGAATTCATCTCTAATTCAGTAAATTTACCTAATGGCCCCGGTAATACTAAGATTTTTGCGTTTGTCAGCGATTCTTGCGATATCACTTCGTTATTCCTGAAATATACATGTAAATGTATTTATATATATGTTATATAGTTTAGTGAGAATCTTTTACTCACTCAATAAATTTCCACTTTGCCTTCAGCTTGCGTTGCAGCACTTTGAACTCGTCGTTCAGTTTCCTCTCATTTTTCGACACGTCGAAAACAACGGCGTTCTCATTACTGTCGCCACCGCCGAGAATCGAGCTCATTGTTGAATTGTGCACCACAAATCGACTTGTCGGATCAATTGTGGCGTTACATCGTTACATTTAGGAACCGTCGATAGCTGTCAAACGTACAAGTGTACATGAAGATATTTCAGTCGCGTCGTCGCTATAGCAACCGCGAACAACACATCGAATACATCGAATTACAATTGATAATCGCGCGTTTCTTGCCTGTTTACCGTTCGCAGGTATCTTTTTCCCACAATACCCGCGATATCGGAATACGGTCACAGTGTACGAATACGCCGATTCGCCCTGTTTGCGTATAGATGTCGTTGAATTTCTATTTCGCACAGTAGCGATTTCCACTCGGGCTGAAGTCGAGTTGCACGTCGCGTACCAAAGAAAATTCCGAGAGCGGCCATCAGATCGTTTTTCCGAGGACCGTCTTCTTGTATTTGTCTCACTTCAACTTATTGCACCAGTTCAGCAGTGCAGCTATAAAGAACAGACCGCATAAGTTAGACAAAGTGCGATGATCTAATTTGATTGCCCGTTTAACGTAACGTAGTTTACGCGCACTTTCTCAGAGGGCGCGTCGAGAAGAGAGTCTCAAGAAAAAACGTCGGATAGCCGTTCTCAGATTTCTTTCTTCTCCCAGAACCTGGCGAAGTGGTAACTCTGAAGATCAGTCGTGCCGTGTCGGACCATGTGATTTTGATGTTCGTCAGAAGCCGCTCTCATTCGAAATGACACCGGTCGTACACCAGGATAATGAGTTAAAGAAATTGCTGAATAATCCCGCAAAAAATGCTAACGAGGACGGATCTATGGCACCGCCGTTGTCGGTAAGCTGTGAAATATGCCGACCGACCTATTTGGGAGAGCGAATCTGTTTCGAGAAATTCACTGTCAAAAACACTTTGGCAGCCGTTAACTTCGTGTGAATCTTACTCGTAGACCAACGTGCCGAGGCCCAGCACATCGCAAAATGTTAACCCGCAATCGATGATGAGCCCGATAGCGCTCGTTCACGGCACGAACGAAGTTCAGGAACCAGTTCTGCAGTAAGTTCGGCACCATGTGCTCAATATCACACCTGTCTGTGTGTGGATACCTAGATGATACAAAGAATATCCGTGTTTTCTTTTGTTTTTTTTTATTACGCATACAATTGGGCATAACAGTCTTAACATAGGAAGTTATATTCTAGAGGTCATAATATATATATATATATATATATATATATATATATATATGATTTTGTAGCATCAATATATATATAGATTGATTTTATAGAAACGTAGTGTCCACAGTCGACTTAAAAGTAGAACTGAAGCTCATGTATATAAATGTAAGGACGAGGAACTCTGAGTACAATCCAGCCAGATTCACCGGATTGGTAATGAGGATACAAAATCCCAGAGCGACCGCATTAATCTTCAGGTCAGGCAAAATAGTGTGCACCGGTGCGAAAAACGAGGACGAGTCATTGCTGGCGACGAAAAAGTTCGCCAAGATAATCCAAAAGCTCGGATACCCTGTAGGTGACGTTTACACTTTCTTACCATCGGCTATGGACGATCTTCTAGGTTCGGGCTTTTGTTAATAGACGACACCATATCTTGCTATTGCAGGTGAAGTTCACTTCTTTTAAGATACAAAACATCGTTGCGACGTGTGACTTGAAGTTTCCGATTCAATTGGAAATGTTAAACCAAAAACACGGTCAATTCTCGAGCTACGAGCCGGAATTGTATCCAGGTTTGACGTACAGGATGTTGAAGCCTAGAGTAGTATTATTGATATTTGTGAACGGCAAAGTTGTGATAACAGGTATAGTTAGAGGACAATAACAAATAACATTTCATCAGTACCACAAGTATATATTCCGTGCTTTTGCAGGGGCTAAAAAGCGGGAAGACCTGCATGAGGCGTTGCATCATATTTATCCGATATTGAAGAGCTTTAGAAAGAATGTATTGTTTGCTCATGAACAAAACAAATATTACGATGAGTGAAGCGACATAACACAAAAATTATTAAGTGAAAGAGAGAGAGAGAGAGAGAGAGCGCTGTGCATTTCCAGTTACCTGATAATCCTAGATATATAGCAAGATAATTAAGTAAAATGCAAGAAGTCAGCGTTTTATACATTTGTACGTTTTTTGTAATAAGAATGTGATATAGGGGAGGCCGTAAAATCTTGTTTTTATTAAGTTTACGAGATTACTGTCTCTTTCTTACGTCGATCCTGCGATCCACGCGAATGATGTTATTTAATATGGTCGCTAAGGATATATTTTCACTAAGCATTAGAGCTATAAGTTATATATAGCTGTGTAATAAACTCTCTATATCTCTTGTGCACGTTTTGAAGAAATACACAGTTGTGATGTGATAAAAATTGCGATTAGGAAAACTGTAAAAGAATAATCGTTGCTTTTTATAACATGCGGTAATTTGCACAATATAAATTTCCAACGATAAATGCCGAAAGAGTGATACGACTAATAAGGACACCATGTACCATTCTTTATTGTTAAAATATATATTTCAGAGACTTTACACAATGAAAATAAGCATCGATATCGATATACTATATCAAAGTAAAATATAACGGACAAACAATCGATAACGTATGTTGGGTGGACAGTTTTTTTTATACAATGTCCCGCTACATCGGAATCATTTGGAATGTATACGTGGCGACGTCAAGTAGTAGGCTTTCCTTTGTGTTTCTGCAAAATTTCAACCTACATCTGGATATGTTGGAATTTAACGGGGTAAACTCGTAGGAGTTCTAACGCCGGTGAACCTTGTGAAACTGCGTCCTGCGTGTCCCGTCGAGTCGAGAAAAAAAAATCAAAAAGAACACCATACCAAAAGTGGTTGCACTCGCATCGTAAACCGAAGTAATCTGTAACTGTTGCGTGTGGACATACAATTTTTATGATTACGGTTAAACTGTACACATCTGTATATAATTACATGCTTCTGGCAAAATCTCTATTAACGGCTCTATGAGAAAAGTGTATAGACATTAATACAGCCGCTGATAACAGCCAATGGTCCATTTAAGAACTTTGTTCGGTGCATCGTCAGATTTGGCAAACGTACCAATCGTCCTCTCAATGTTCGACGCTTTAACGCTGCGTAAATGCGTGTACCTTATATTCATTTTAATCGATCCGGACGCGTTATCTAATTGATACTGATCTTCGGTGTACCGGAATAAAAGCCCCGTTTTACTCGATCGACGTACACTCGTATGTACGTACGAGTGTATATACGTATACCTTTGAAACTTTAATTGATGAAACATGTAAGAATTACGTCTGGTGATATATGTGTGTGTATATGTGTATGTACGTGCATGCATCCGTATGCATGCATACATGTGTAAGCGTTCCCCTTCCTCGAGTCTCCGCTTCCGCAGTCTTTAGTCAATCACGTGTATGCCTTTCTTCGCTGCTATCGGCAATTTCTCTCCCTGGAAGAATGGGTTTTCTTCCTGAAACAATATTGCCGATGTAATCTGATCATTTTGCTATCTCGATCGTCATCCATAAATTCACGGTCGTTTCATTAATTTCGGTAATTGAGTTGAGAGGAAGAGAGAGAGGAGAGAGTGAGTCAAGGTCTTCTCTCCGAATAAATAGAGAGCAAGGTAGATTCATGTAATCTCAAACCCACGATCGAACTCTCGGATCCAGTTCGGAAATCAATGTGTAACGATATACATTTCGATTACCTGAAACTGTTCGACAATTTGATCAAAGTCGGAATTCGAGATATGCATGTTCGACAAGTTGTTGCTGTTCCCGGGGTCGCCCGAGCATTCCAACATGTGTTCCGTGTCGCACATGCAGTCCTGCGCGCTCTGGTAGTCGCGACTGAACGCCGCTGTATTCTCGAAATTGGTGAGACAATTGTTTTCACCTGTGAGAAGAGGCGTGACAATAAAAAGTCTCAATTTAGGGAACGGTACAGCGTGCACTGTAAATCTAAGCGTGTTATTGCACGCGTAGACGTACGTCCAAATTTGACACATTTCACCGAAGCTCTGCTTTCGCACGTTTTTTGGCTCGATTTGGCTCATTTGAAATCGTTCGATCGTGTTGAATCAACGCGTTTAATTCAGATGTGTCGAGTCGACACGTCCGATCGTGTCAAATGGCGATTCGAAACGAGACAAGCGAACAGAGCTTCAGAGCCGAAGGGATTCGCGGTGTGCGCGACGCCGACTGTGCTCACTTGTGTATCCGACCGGGCAAGGATTAGGCGGTGTGCAGTAAGCCGGCAACGGATTCTCCGTCTTCTCGTCCTTGATCCCTTTCAAGCCGGCCGCGTGGATCCTGTGCCTGTCGTTTCCCTTGTTATTGTTGTTATTGATACGCTGATGGCTCCAGAGAGTGCTGTGCTGCAGATACTCCTGATCTCGTATACTCGGGTTCGGATTCAGCGTGTCGTCGTAATCGGCCGGCAGCTCCAGCGGCAGCGTTTCCTTCGCTTTCTCCGGGTATTCCAGAAAATACGGATCCGGCGCGTCCGCGAATTCGTTCCCGAGCTGATCGATGATCAGCTCCCGCAGCAGAGTGTCGGTCAACATGTGCTCCTCCTGGGGGACACATCCGAACAGAGGATTACACGGTCTTTGAGAGTCCTGCGAGAAACGGGGATGAATCAGCCAGGAATCGACTGGGACTTTTATTAACGCACGAGGTCCACGAAAGCCACAACCCTACTAGATGCGGTGTACAGGGACACCCTGTACATAGATATGTGATGCGTCTCTATGTTGGAATAGGCGAGATCGAGACATTTCCGGATCGACTCCCGATTTCGTAGGTAACGAGTCCTCTCGATTCATCCCCCTTTCGCAGGACCGTCGCGACTCGCGCGATTACCTTCATCGACGGCAGAAAGACGTTCGCCTGCGTGGCAACGGCGATCGAGAGGAGCAGAATGCAGTACGGCATAGTGGCGGAGATGAGCGAAACAACGCGGAAAGCGAATCTCCACCTGTTCTTCAAACGGCCGTCCTCGTCAAGTTCCTCCCCGAGTTCCACCCCGCTTTTTACATACAAAAAGGAAAGAACGAAAAATTCGGAGAGGATTCACACGAGGCTCCTCGTAATTGTCGTTTCACGCAACCGCGCGACGTATCTCACCGGGAACGATTCCCTACGCATTCTCGAGGACCTTCTTTGCCCTTGGTGGAAAATCGGAAGATCACGGTGACGTCAAAGTGACGTCGGAATGAGGAGGAAGGCTGCGTTCCGACGCACATCGGCGTCACTGAAAAATCTGTGGCACACGCAAGAGGAACCGCAGATTTTTCGCGGGCCGAACAGTGAATCTCGGAACGAAGTGATCGAGCCGAACGATCGACGAGTGAGTTATCCATTTTCTCGTCATCGTCCTGACGTCATCGTCCGATCTTCCACCTGGATTGCAGACGGCATGCATGCACCGCGCGAGAACTCGCGAACGAAGCACTGAGAATCGCCGAGGCGTCGCATTCGCGTTTTACATTTACACGCTTCAGTTACGCTTTAAGGGCGGTTCTCTCGCACCACCTGCGCCACCCTTGAGGGAACAATTGCGTTTCCAACCTCGTTTCAACCGCGAAAGAGCTGGCCGCGGGAACTCACCGCGCGCGACGACGGGAAGAAAGCTGGCTCGCGATATGGGGACCGCCGACCTGGTCGTCACACTCCTCGGAGGAGATGCTGCACACGGCGCACCGGTTTTCGCGTCAGCTGCACACACACACACGCGCGAATTCGCCCTCCTCCGCCTCCTCCGTCGCCACCTCCGTCACCGTCGCCGTCACCACCGCCGACGCGACGAGCGCCCTTTGCGGTCTCGCCGAGTACCAGAGTATTGATTCGCCTCCCTCGTCGTTGTCATCTCCCCCTCGTTCACCAGGGCTCTCCATTCTAGGGACGACGCGCTCTCTTTCCTACATCCTCCAACGTAGCCGCCGCGAAACCGCGCTCCTTCGCTTCGAGCAACCCACATTCCTAGGAAAATCGAGCGAGCCGCTGCCAAAGGTCACTCGACTACCGTGATCGATGTGCGTCACGTGACCGACAATGAGGACTCTTTATCTCTCTCTCTCTCTCTCTTGGTTAGAGGTGTATATAGAGCGTCGGCAAGAACGACACGAGCCGGTGTGTCTTCGGATGCACCGAGACGCACCCTTTATTAATCACGAACGCGTTATTCTCCGGAAATGACGGTTCGCGACGATCCGAGAGGAAGCTGGCGACGCGCGAAGCTGAACACACCTGTCGGTCGTCGAAGTCGGTCCCGGGGTCGATTGTGTATCTCAAAACTTAGTGAGAACGACAAAAGTGGGCAGATTCATCAGTCGACCACCAATTTTGTCATATTCTAATGAATTCACACTCACACTCTTGCAATTCTTACTTCGTTTTGAGACGCACAATCGACCCTCTGGGATTGACGATTGGCGATTTTCAAGTCGATTTTACTCGACGTAACTTTCACGCGGGGGAAAGCGAAGTCAAACGCGGAGAGACGCGTAGTTCCATCGTTCTGTTTTAATTCTGGGTATCCGCTGAGGGGAATTCGCGCTCGCAACTAAGTCGGAGTCGACTGCGAAGTTCGATCTTCTAGATATCGATAACTCTTCGTCTAAGGCGAAAACGTAAAAACATGACCGCCTGGAGGTTAATCATGAATCTTCGCTTTTAGCGTGAATTCGTGAGAAGTATAAGTTTTCTAATTCGAAAGCATTTGGAATTCTCGCATTCCACGTTTTTCGCTTTCCACGCCCCGAAGACAAAACTAGGGCAAAATTACACGATCTCGCGTGAAAGTCGGCAAGATCTCCCTTGATTCGAAATGTCTTCCTTTTGATCGCTCACTCGCCCTGGCTAACGAAACATATTGGCTGTTCACATATCTAGATCGCGCTCGTAAACGGCGCTTACGAGCAAGTATGATTTATGTGCGGGACACGTCGTTCGGATAATCCGATATAAAAGCTCCGGCTCGTATATCTCGAGGTCCTACCGCGGCTATAAAGCATCAAAAGTACGGGGTCATTTTGTTACGCGGGCACGAAGCGCGAGTTAATGTAAGAATGTAATTTCTTCCTGTAGCGACATTGCCCGCAAAGTGAATAATCCTGTTCCCTTAACTACATCGTATGCCATTTTTACCGCCGATCGTATTAACCACGTACTAATGTCGCTACAAGCTGACACGAGAATTTGTCGTTTCACCTAGCGAGTTTCCACGAAACACCGAAAAACTTGAGAAAGAAAATCCTGAAGTATGAAATCCTGTATGTTTCAATTAAACACCGTGTTGACAATAATTAAATTGCAACATGCTTGACGCCGCAACAATGCAACGAACTAAAATCAAATAAACAAAGACAAAATACTGACATATTAAAAGCAGAGGCCGCGTATTATCAAAAATCACAAAGGCACGAGCGACGCTCGAAGTACACGGAAAAAAACGTTGGATTCGTTTAAATAACTCCCAATATTCCTTAGTAAATTTTTACTTGGATCAAGTTTGATATTTATTTATGATCCAAGTGAAGTATTTTCCTAGAAAATTATCCAAGTGGAATATCTTGATTGGTAAAATAAGTAAATTTTACTCGATCCAAGTAAAATTTGTTTAATCAAAAGAAAAATTTGCTACGGATCGTCGGAGTAATTATTCGCACGAATCTGGTGCTTTTCTTCCTTTTTTTCTACGTAAGAAATATCTCGCATTTTACTCGACGACGACACGCGAAATCGACTCGGGAGGGCGAAAATTTCGATTCTCATAAACGGCTCACGGGGAAGCACAGCGGCGGTTTGTTTGTCAAACCGGCGCTTTCATTAAACGTATCGGCTATTCGGTGGGGTGAAGTACGTAGGCGACGTGCTAGAGGGTCGGAAGATCAAAAGATCCTCCCCCTCTCGTTACGGTTGCACATAAACGTCCATTAGTTACTGCTCCCGCATTGCTGCTCGCCGGCAACTCAATTTCCAAAATCAAATTTCCGTTATGCCTCCGCCTCCCCCGGCTCCCGCGGATTCGCTCTGTATGCATGCACGTACATCCGTTGCGCGTTAAAACCACCCCCCTCACGAGCGTGCGAGCCGCTCCTTACCGAAATGTCCATCGGTCCTGCCGAAATTTCAAGGAGCAAGGCTGCCATTGTTCTCGTTCCATGCGAGCTCGCGGGATTTTCGACGATTTCGTACTATTTGTCAAGCCGAGGATCGATGAATATAACAATATGGCCAATCGGTCCGATGTGTCTCGAGGGAGCGAGTATCGGGACATTCTTGCGGAGCTATCGGTGTACTTTCCCAGTATCCGGCCGGCTTCTCGGAATCCTCCGTTCGAATAAAAGTCCCGGACGGCTTCTAATGCCGCGGATTCCTGCGCAATCAGGATTAATCGCGCGTAAGCGGCCCTTTCGTGTGTGATGTTAAGTATTCGGGAAATCTTCGATCGCACGGGTCGAGTTGCGTTTTTTTTTTC